ACTCTGAACCACAAATGTCCTCGCACCACGGTCCAGTTCAATCTGTTGACGTATCAAACACTTTAATCATGTTTGAAGAGTGTTTGAGGTTTCAGAGCGTCTCTTATCCAGATTTGAGTTTATACACATGATAAATTATGACATGATGCACTCATTGGAAAAAAAAGAAGAAAAGTTGAATTATGAAATTAAACACTTTTAAATCAATCTCACATCTCAAACATGAAGTCTCATTTCAAGAAGAACACAAACAGACGAGAACTTAGAAAAATAAACGATCTGTTTATTACAGGATCAATGATGGTACAACATACGTGCAATAATGAGGATAAATGAGTGTAGAGACGCTGCTGACCTGGAGTTTAGTCTCTGTCTGGGTGAGGGAGTGAGCTGTTTTTGACACACTTTCATTCCAGTCCAAGGTTGTTGTTGAATTATATTTTAACCATTTATTGATTAAATAAAAAACAAACAAAGACGGAAACGTCCAACTGACTATGATGGTGATGTTCGTGATGAGGGTGAGAGTGGTGTCGGAGATCAGCTTCCCGTTCCCCAGACCACTGCTTCACCTGTGTCCCTTATTTACCTGCTCATTCACCTGAAGCGCCCCCTTGTGGTGATTGTGTGAGTAACAAAACAAAATCCCAGATATAATAAAGATAAAATGTCTCATACAGTGATAATCCATCCATCCATTTTCTACCCCTTATTCCTGTTGGGGGTCATGGGGGGGCTGGAGCCTATCCCAGCATCTTCAGGTGGGGGACACCCAGGACAAGTCACCAGTTCATCGCAGGGCTGACATATAGAGACGAACAACCGTCCACGCCCACATCCACACCTACGGGCCAGTTCACCTGACCCCACTTCTGCATGTTTACCCGGAGTAAACCCACACAGACACGGGAGAACATGCAAACTCCACACAGAAACACTCTGACCCGGATTCGAACCCAGGACCTTCTTTCTGTGAGGCGACAGTGCTAACCACTACACCACTGTGCCGCCCACAATAACAGGATTACTCGAGTTACTGATAGTGAGTGAGTGTGCTGTAACATATAAACCTACATTATCTTTGGTAATGTCGAGTAAATTTAGATGGATTTAGGATCATCCGAACGATAAACCCAGGAGACAGCATCAGCTGCTCCTCCAGCTCTCAAACAGAGTCTGTTCATGGACCTCAGCACTGTGGTCCTGGTTTTTTAAAGTCCTTCCAAGCCCAGACTCGGTCCAGGCCTCGGTCTGTCATGGTTGCTATTTGCTGAGAGTACGCACAGCGGCTGTACTTCACGGGTAAAACGTGGAAATAATTCCAGTCAGGAGGGTCAGTGGGGGGTATGTTCAGGTGCCGCAGACACAGTCCCACGTACACGTCTTCGATGTAAAGAGCTTTCACGTGTCTGGATGCCTCCACCAGTTTTTTAGCCATGTCCACAGAAAACACATATCCCATCCCGTAAGCGTAGGGGGGGTAGTACTGACCCCTATATATGGACTCTGGGACAAACCACTTACAGGGGTCTCTGCGGACGATGGAGGATTTCTCGATCAGTCCGGTCAGGTAGTTTGTCTTTGGAGAGTTGAGCAGCATGCTGATGAGTTTGGGCACATTCAGAAACATGTCCGAGTCGATCTTCATGACGTACGAGGTCCCGGAGCAGTGCGAGTCCACCCACTCCATCATCACCATGGTCTTGATGGTCAGGTTCTTGTAGCAGTCCAGGAAGGTGCTCTGGATCAGATCTCCATGCTCCTTGCTCTCCTGTAGCAGCTGTTCCTGGAGCTTTTCTGCCCCCTCCCCGCTGTGCTGCCCCAGTAAGAAGAACAGCTGCACCGCTTTGCCCTGGACCAGGCTCTCGTTTCCCCAGGTGCTGCGGATGATGTCCCGGTGAGCCCTGTTGCTGGGCGCCACTGGAACCATCAGAACCAGGAAGGGTTTGTTCTGCTGACATTTGTTTGGCTCGTTGATGGTGTAGTGGTACTCGTAGGGGTACTCCACCAAGTACGGTCCTGGAGATCTATAAGGAATTGGTGTTCGCGGCTCGGGTTTGTTCGTGGTCACATTTGGACCGGTCACATTTGGACCGGTCACATTTGGACCGGTCACACTAGTCGAGTCCTTTACCATCGGGGAGCTCTCCCCGCTTTGAAACCCGCCAGTGAAGGGTTTTGGCGCTTTCAATGGTGTTCTCCATCTTGTTGTGTTATAGTGCATCAGCCAATCAGAGGACATCTCTGTGATTATTGCGTTACAGAGGAAGAAAACTGCTGCAAACGCCAAAACGAGGAGGAAGTGCCGCTGGGACAACCCACACCATCTCCTGATTCCCGCTGTTTTCTCGCCATTCACCGCCCTGAGATGGAGAGAAAGACTGTGGAGTGATGAAGAAGACGTCACAAAGCATCAGTACGTTCAATTTGATAACTTTTTTAAAAAATAAGACATTGTGATGAAGATTTTTCTAGCCCAACTGAAACTGCAAGAATTATACATAATTATTATTATGATTATTATCAGCCTAACCCCCGATCTCCACCTTCATCCTGATGGTCTCCTAAAAGGTCGTATCCTCCGATCGTAGCTGATCGTAACCATTCAAGTTAACGTGTCAATTTACACCGACTTCTTTCCGTTCCTCTGCGGATCGCCGGACTCCTCAGCTGATCACAAGAGTTCTATTTTTTCTGGACGCCGGAGCATGGCGGATAAATTCAGCACAGATGAACCCGTGCTGGAAAGGAAGTCGGGCACAGACACAAAATAAAACATCCGGCTTCTTTTCAAAATAAAACACTCCGTGTTTCAGGAGGATCGTATTTCACACCATGCAAACGGGCGGAGACGAACAAGTGAAAGGTTTTTAGACGTCATTTCACCCCGATGACACCATGGATGAGGAGATGCTGATTCTAGAAGTCTAGAAGTAGATTTCCTCCTCTGGAAGGACACAATCTACTGCTTATATGTCTATGTGTCTGTCTTTAGAGAGACGACTCGATATCGTGAGATTGAACGTGGATCTGCAGGTTCTTGTGAGTTCTTGCGATTCCTGCTGTCTGTAATCGCCTCACAAACAGACCCGGTAGGAATTGGCGGACGGCAGAAATCGCAGCTGTTCGAGATCGGAGCCGTTCTGGATGCGGTGAAAATTGGGGGTAACCCTGACCCAGGATTAGGTCTGCTTGGTGCTGTTCAAGGGCGTCTACGGAAGAACCTTTTCGTTCTTCATTATTACGGCACGGCACAGGGAGAGTAGATGTCTCACCCGCCACAGTTTGAACCTGTCACCACAGACGCCGTGAGAGGACGGCTGTTTCCGTCTGTGTCTAAAGAAGGCGGTCTACACACCCAGTGTTGGTCTACAGAGTCTGACCTGACAGGCTGATAACACAGAAGGGTCAGGGTTCGGGTTAACCTCCCCGACTGTCAGCATCATAATCCTGTGTGGTTCTGGAGTGACTGCCAGTTCAGTGGTTCTGGTAAATATCGTAGAACCGGGTCGTTTTTTTGTTCTGGTGTCTTCTGACACTCGATAATTCGTCCAGAATCTTTATCATGTTTTATGACCCTTTGCTTATCTGAGCAAACACACACACACACACACACACACACACACGCACACACACACACACACACACACACACACACACACACACACACACACACACACACACACACACACACACACACACACACACACACACACACACACACACACACACACACACACACACACACACACACACACACACACACACACACACACACACACTAGTCTGACTCCACAACAAACAAGAATCAAACCTGCTGATGTACCTCAGTCCTTTGTTTGCAAAGACATGTCCCAGCATGATGATGCTCTCTCTCTCTCTCTCTCTCTCTCTCTCTCTCTCTCTCTCAGGTACAGGTGTGCGCGGTCGATCCCACAGATTTGTCCTCAAGGAGAAGAAAATTCAGGATCAGGACTTTGTCCGTCTGAAAACCCCCCAACATGAAAGTAGAGATGAACACCTCTGAGCCGACCATCATCTCTCCTGAGTGAGTGACTGTTCCACCAGCACAGGTGATACACCTTTGTTTGCTCCACCCCTCAGTTTACTCATGTCCTCTCCAATCCAACGACAGCTGACAATCCGACTCACTACACGGGCTGAAAAGGACGATACCTGCTCCGAGAGAAGCTGATGGTCACTGACATCAAACAAACTTCAGTCGCATGAGTGAGAACTTTTCAGAACTATGTTAGAACTCTTGAAGGCTCTTGGAGATCTTTGGTGTGATCCCAAACACTCGTGAGAACCTAAAGATATCTGTGAGATCTCAAGGAACTTCTCTAACACTCCAAAAATCTTCAACTGATCCTGAAAAACTAACAAGATTCTTAGAAACTGTTGTAGGATCCGGAGGTCAGCTCTGAACTGGACCTTTGTGTCGGCGCCATGATTGTGGGGTTCAGATGTTTCCTTATTCCAGCTCATAAACGTCATTAAGTGAACCTGGATCTTCATATTTGTATCTCATTTACACTGAGTACAGTCTCTCATCACATCCAGACTGTTGTGCTCAACCTTTAATAAAGACTGACGATGACAGACTGAGCTCGGAAAGTTATTAACAAAGTGGGACCTGGTGTTTCCGGGTGTTCAGAGGTGAGCAGAGAGGTGAGACTGGAGAGGTCTGCTAAAGTCCCAGAATCAGACCTCTGAAATACTCCTTTGAGCTGTCGGCCAACTTCAGGAGGCCTCTGAGCTCAGACGACATATTCAACTGAAGACAAATGTGGTTGACCAGAATACCTCCATACATCAGAAGTCTGTGATATGAGAGAAACATGGAAGACCCCAGGAAAGTTTTTTGGGACCTTTATGGAAGTTGACAAAACTTTGCCAGGTCGAATAGGCGGTACAGAATTCGACTGTTTCACTCACATTTACGACTAAAAATAGACGTGTGCGAATTGTCAAATGTATTTAGGGTCACATGTGCACATAAAAAAAACAACAAATGTTTTTTTTCCTTGTAAATATGGCGGTGAAGTTAGTTTTAGGTTGGATATATTTTCCTGTAAATACGGCGGTGAAGTTAGTTTCAGGTTGGATATATTTTCCTGTAAATACGGCGGTGAAGTTAGTTTCAGGTTGGATATATTTTCCTGTAAATACGGCGGTGAAGTTAGTTTCAGGTTGGATATATTCTCCTGTAAATATGGCGGTGAAGTTAGTTTCAGGTTGGATATATTTTCCTGTTAATACGGCGGTGAAGTTAGTTTCAGGTTGGATATATTTTCCTGTAAATACGGCGGTGAAGTTAGTTTCAGGTTGGATATATTTTCCTGTAAATATGGCGGTGAAGTTAGTTTCAGGTTGGATATATTTTCCTGTTAATACGGCGGTGAAGTTAGTTTCAGGTTGGATATATTTTCCTGTAAATACGGCGGTGAAGTTAGTTTCAGGTTGGATATATTTTCCTGTAAATACGGCGGTGAAGTTAGTTTCAGGTTGGATATCTGACGGACATTCTCTGAGGATCTACCGGTGTCTTCTCACTCTCCATAACCGGGAATAACAACAGCAGCGCGGTTAAATCTACTCGACACCCTCACTGTCAACGTCGGTGTTGAATAAGGGACCGTCAATAAATTACCGGTTGATGTTCTCAGAAAAGGCTGTTTTCCTTCAATAGCTTCACTGTCATGTGACCAAAAGACCTAAAATTGATTTCTAATAATAGTACTAAGGTCGATCAATAAGACAAACATTATTTGATCCTTTTTCATTGATCCCCTAAAGATCTTTGTGCTCTTTACTTTTTTAACTCAGGAGAACGTTAACAAAGTTAGAGTCTAGACCTGTTTTATTTTGAATATAAACCACTTCTGTGTTTTTTTTCCATCCAAACAGTTTTAAAGTCTCTGAAATCAGGGTGAAAAATAAAACTTTAAGATCAGGAGTTTTGAAAATTCACTGTTTGTGTTTGTGAAAGTTTTCTCAGAGCGACTTCAGTCCAAAACAACCACGACTCACTTCTATGTAAAAGTTTTATTTGGTGGTCCGGCTCTGCTCTGAGAGAGAGAGACCCCCCACATCTCTACAAACATACCAGGAAGACCGGACCCTGAGGCGGGGAGAGCAGCAGCGAAGACCCCAGAACAGGACAATGACCCCAGATCAGGACAATGACCTCAGAACAGGACAAAGACCCCAGAACAGGACAAAGACCCCAGAACAGGACAAAGACCTCAGAACAGGACAAAGACCTCAGAACAGGACAAAGACCTCAGAACAGGACAATGACCCCAGAACAGGACAAAGACCTCAGAACAGGACAAAGACCCCAGAACAGGACAAAGACCTCAGAACAGGACAAAGACCCCAGAACAGGACAATGACCCCAGAACAGGACAAAGACCCAGAACAGGACGAAGACCCCAAAACAGGACAAAGACCTCAGAACAGGACAAAGACCCCAGAACAGGACGAAGACCCCAGAACAGGACAAAGACCCAGAACAGGACGAAGACCCCAAAACAGGACAAAGACCCCAGAACAGGACGAAGACCCCAGAACAGGACAAAGACCTCAGAACAGGACAAGGACCCCAAAACAGGACAAAGACCCCAGAACAGGACAAAGACCTCAGAACAGGACAATGACCCCAGAACAGGACAAAGACCTCAGAACAGGACAAAGACCTCAGAACAGGACAAAGACCTCAGAACAGGACAAAGACCTCAGAACATGACGAAGACCCCAGAACAGGACAATGACCCCAGAACAGGACAAAGACCCCAGAACAGGACAATGACCCCAAAACAGGACAAAGACCCCAGATCAGGACAAAGACCCAGAACAGGACGAAGACCCCAAAACAGGACAAAGACCTCAGAACAGGACAAAGACCCCAGAACAGGACGAAGACCCCAGAACAGGACAGTGACCCCAGAACAGGACAAAGACCTCAGAACAGGACAAAGACCCCAAAACAGGACAGTGACCCCAGAACAGGACAAGGACCCCAGAACAGGACGAAGTGGACCGCTCTCACAAAGCTAGTGGATTTTACACTCAGTCACTGTGTCTTATCTTTCAGTTTTTAGAGCTGATGTTGATGAAATTATTACTTATATTTGGTTTATTACGGTTAGTAAAACAGAAAAATATACAGAGGTTGGAGTTTTATAAGTTTGACTGGATGATAAAAGAGTCAAAGCAGAGAGAGAGACTGAGAGGGAATGATCCGGATCAGGAAGACCCTGATCACAGAGAGGTTTTCTTTGCTTATTACATAAATGTTAACCTTTTTCGACCAATCAGAAGAGCCGACTACAACCTCCAAACTCTGTCCTAAAGTAAGATTGAATAGATTCATTCGTTCATTCAGACGTGTCGGCTTAGTTTGATTGAACAGCTCGTTTGTCCGTGACGCCGTGATGTTTGACTCGGGGATTTCTGCGCGGTGATCGATGTTCGCTCTTTTTTCATGTTTCACATGAACTGTGTCGTTATTTCCAGCTAAGAGTTTTATTCAAATAAAAAAAGAGATTATTTCCTCTGATAAAACATCAAAGACTGACTCACTATGTAAGGAGCGTGACAGCAGTCATTGTCACCTGCTATTTATTCACCAGGTGTTGCATGTTTGGGGGGAGGGTCTACTGGGAACAATAAGATGTCAGTTTAAAGGTTTCAAACAGACTGGTTAGACTGGTTTCCAGCAGCAGTGTCTCTGTGAGGGTCCAGGACAGCTGTGACTGAAGGACGTGTTTGTTCCTCTTTCAGTCCGTCCTGCAGTATTCCTGTAAATGACGGCGGTTAAAGCTCTCACTCAGAGGGTCGGTGGTACGCCCCGCAGTACAATAGGAGAAGAGCTGTACAGGCAGCCTCTAGTGGACACTTGAGGAACTGCAGTTTTGATCATTTCCACACCAGCTTTACAGACTTTCATTGATCAGAGAGTAAATCTGCAGTTTAACCGAGCTCATGTGTAATCAGACCTTATTGGATCTGATTTATTTTTGTGGTTTTTTTATGCGTTTATCCTCCGTTTGTGCTGCTCTATAACACCTGTGCACGTCAGCTTTTTAACCACACACAAACACACTGAGGATTGGCTGAACTAGTGAATGAATCTCAGGGCTGGTGAATTTTTTTTGTCTTTTTTAACGTCGATTTATATCCTGAGACTGATGTCCTCACCTCCACACCAGCTGCTCTCCCTAATGCTCGTCTTCATTAACCAGAAATTAGAAATGAAAATCGTGACAAAAATACATTTATTTGTTATTTTGCGTTACGTCAAGTGGGTTTGAAATGTCGGCGCTGTTGTAAAGATAGTTAGAGACGCCAAGACCCCAAAAAAACTCATCGTTACAGTTACCAAGTCGGAAAAAAGCAAAATCGGAGGCGGAAACAAGATGGCTACATCTATGGAAGTTGTTTTAGTGCTAGCCTCGTCAGAATATAAGGCGAACGCTAAAATAACTTTCGTAGATGTCGCCATCTTGTTTCAGACCTCTGATTTTGCTTTTTTTGGACTTGGTAACCAGACACTGGGAACTCGAACTGAACATTCATCTGCAGATCCTGAACTTTTGGACACAGCTGTTACAACATCAACATCACCTTTACCTGCAGAAAACACGAACTTTCTTCATCTCACTGTACCGATGATGAAGCTGCTGCTGCTGCTGCCACCTACGTACTCGTGCTTAAAGATAACAAAGCAGTTCTCTCACTCACACAGATGTTCCCATATTTAAACAATGAGGTTGAACAGATTAGACTTATGTGTAACAGATAGAGGAGTCTCTGTAACAAACAGCTGCCGCCAAAGGCCGAGGTGTGTGAGTGTGAGCCTGCATGTACAAACACACTCCGAGGTGTGTGATGGAGGATGAGGTTAGATAAATAAAAGTGAAACCACAACCACTCTTAATCCATTATACATGACAAACTCTTAAATAGACAAATATTTGACTTCAGTTCACCGCCAACCAGCTCCATCCATCGTCTCCAGGAACCTGTAGATGTGAAGCTCCGGGACCAGAGGGCAGGATTTAGGAGAGCGCCATGACTGACCCGAATCCTCAAAGACCACAAGCCCAACCCCCAGAATCACCTGTGGAAGAGTCCTCACCTGGTCATCTGTGTGTGTGTGTGTATGAGTGCTGTGTGTGTTGAATGGGGGTTGGTTGGGTGGGTGTGGTTATTTGTATTTTAATTAATTTATTTATCTTTAATATTCCGCTTGAATGGACGGGACTTTGTGCTACATGAAATGAAAATTTGTGTCATTTCAGCGTCTGATTTCATATCTAAGAAATCCTAGATATAAAAAGATTTTCTGTAATCACTAACATGACTGTAATCAGCTTTATTTGGGCAAACTCTCAGTAAGCATTTCTATCTATCTATCTATCTATCTATCTATCTATCTATCTATCTATCTATCTATCTATCTATCTATCTTTCTATCTATCTATCTATCTATCTATCTATCTATGTTGAGTTTATCTATAAAGAGAGAAGCCTGTTTACAGAGAGGATTATTGACACTTTTTTATTCAACATTTTATGTTTTAAACATTAAGAATGAGTCAAAAAGAGTTCAGTTATGACAGTAGAATTAAAGTTTAAAAGTGAATGTATCTGAGACGCTTCAGTGTGTTGTTTAATACTTATCTGATAAAAGTAAAATTAAACAACTCCATGATAAAAAATAGAGTAAATGTTAAATCATGCGGCCCGTCTTTCATACATTTACTTTAAATCAGATCAATATTTCTGGACTCAGCGTCCATCACTATTTCATATAAATTTACTCCAAATTATTTGAACTTTTGGTGAATAAAGATGTAAATGTCGAAAACTATCAGCTCTCTTTTCTTGTATTTTAAACAAAATAAAATATTTTTATAGATTTTAATGACAAATGCTTTAAAGACAAACATTAAAACCGCCACAATACATTAAATCCATTTTAAAGAGACAGAAGAGTGTTTTTAGGAGGAGAATTTGATTTAAATGATGTTATTTTCTCAGATTTTAACTCAGCTCCATCATAAATATATTTACATTTACGACATTTTCGATTAGCTTCCGGTGTAACGTAATGACGCAGGGGCAGCGTCGGTCACGGCGTCTCACGTCATATCTTCCAACACGGCCGCCTCTTCCTGGCCGGCCCGGGCATGCGCCTTTGCGGCCCCGCTCCTCCCTGAACCGTTATCCGTTTGTTGTCACCGTCCTGCCGGGAGAAACGGAGCTCCTCCGGCCGGTCTGCGGGGATCTGCGGGGCTCAGTGAGGCCGGATGAAGAGGCTGGACACGGCAGAATCCTCCGCAGACGTCCCGGGACCCCGTGCTGGGTGAGTTCGAGACGGTTTGAGAGAGTTTGAGGGAGAAAAGAGGAGAAAAGAGGAGGAGTGATGAAGAGTCCAGGAGCAGAGATTCATTCAGAGATGAACTTTAACCTTTAGAGAAATGTTTTCACACAGAAACAGCGTTTTTAAGGAGGTCCAGTCCGGTTTAAAACCACCACAGTAACACTTTTAAAGGTTTTTAATCATATTTGATTCTTTACTGATTCTGGGATTCAGCTCTTCTTCTGCTTTTAGATCTTCTGCAGCTTTGGTGGATCACAAACATCTTCATGACTCGTCTTGAGTGTTGGTGGGGGTTAAAGGTGCTGTCCTGGTTTAGGTCTTACCTGTCCTCCTCATCTCCTCAGCCCTCCTCCTCAGCTCCTCTGTCCTCGTCCTCAGCTCCTCTCCCATGTGGAGTTCCCCAAGGCTCCATTCTTGGTCCTTTTCTCCTCATTTATTCTCCTCCTGGGATCTAAATTTAAAACGTTAACATGTCTGATGATCCTCAGCTGTATTTACCCTGAAACCAGGAGCTTCCACTGCCCTGGTCCCACTGTTGGACCGTCTCAGGGACACTCAAACCTGGATGGTTCTCAGTTTTCTAACATTAAATGAGAGTCAGACTGAAGTCTTTGGCTTCCTGAGTGTTTTAGGATTGATTTTAAAATGTTATTATAAATCCTTCGTCGGGCTTGCTCCTCTGTGTCTCTCTGCTCCTCCTCTTCATGAACTCCTTTTGAACTTGAACTCCTGAGAACCTCTCTTTCTCTGTCCTCCTGTTTTAACGTGTTCTTGTCTCTTTGTTTGATTTTTCTCTGTTTTTATTGTTTTTATTGTTTTTTCTTGTTTTTTTAATCTGTTTTATAAATAAATGAACGAACATGTGAAAGTCGAGTTCTTGTTGGTTTTTGCAGAGACGGGTTCAGGTCTCTGGTTTTAGTCTTTGCTCTCAGGTGTTTAACTCACCTGTTTGCTCTGTCCTCAGTGTCTGGGCAGGAGGAGGGTGGAGCCTGAGGCCTGGTTGCCGTGGTGATGGTGTTAGACTCAGGTGAGGTCTTCATGGATCAGGTAGAGGATGTCGGGAGCAGCAGGGAGATGTTGGAGCGAGAGGATCCCTCCACGCCGAGACCGCCAGCCAAAAGGAGTGATGTCACCAAGAAAGAGCGGTCCCTCCATAACGGACTTTCTGTCAAGGCGCCGCCCAGAAGGTCATCGGTATCTGCATCATCAAGAGGCGGGGTCGCGCCTAGACCGGCGCCACGCCGACCCCTAAGTCTGGACATGACCCCCCAGAACCTGAGAAGGTCTCAGGAGAGGACGGCAGACAGACGGGTGGTGCAGCCACCATGGCGCAGCGGCACCGCCCCCTCACCGCCCGCTCGCAGCCTGACGAGTCCCAGTTTAGGTGCCGGCGGCTGGATGCGGCGCAGCGAGAGCACCTGTTCCGTCAATTACCCCCTGGGGCTCCGAGCAGGGAGGGGGCAGATGAGACCGGCCACCTCCCTGCCACACATCGCAAAGGGGGCGGGGAGCACCATGCCGCCCCCCTCCACCCGGCCGTGTCTGCTGGTGGCGCTGCGACCTCTGAACCTGGAGCAGGAGAAGCAGACCTTCTTCCAGTCCGACTACAAGTACGAGCCGCAGTTCGAGTACACTCAGCCTGAGCCCCGGAGCGTTCTCGAGAAGTACCAGGAGGGGTCCGGACTCTTCCTGGAACAGGTACGATACCGGTCCGACTCGTTTCACCCGGATTTGACCAGAGAGCCAAACTCCCGAAAAAAGTTCTGGAAACTTTAGTGAGTTTAGTCCAAATATAATATTTAATAATAATAATAATAATAATAATAATATTAACTAATAAAAATAATAATAAAAATAATAATAATAATAATAATAATAATAATATTAACTAATAAAAATAATAATAAAAATAATAATAATAATAATAATAATAATAATAATAATAATAAAAATAATAATAATAATAAGAAGAAGAAGAAGAATGAAAGAAAAAAGAAAACAACAATCATTTAAAAAAGAAAGAAAATCAAAACAAACGAGAAACAAAACAAAAATAATTACAAATACAAAACTACACAAAAAAAATGACTTACAGAAACAAAAAAAAACTTAAACACAAATAAAAAAAAGAAAACACAATAAAAAAGACAAAAACAACTAAATCTAAACAAAATGAACCAAAAAACGAAACAAAGAAGACAAAAAAGAGAAAAAACAACAATAACGAAAAAGAAAATAAAACAACACAAAACAAAAGTTCAGAAGAAGAAGCGCAGGAGTAAAGGAAAAACAAAAAGAAGACACAAAACAAGAAAAAAAAACAATATGAATAAAGAATTTAAAACAAAAAAGGAACTTTTTTTTTAAATAATCAAAAAATGAGAGAGTACAAAAAAGCGCTAAATTATGTTTTATTAGAAACAAATATGATCAACAAATAGAACAAAAACAAAAAGGAAAAAAAAAGAACAAATAAAAAAGAAAAAGTTTTTTAGAGGCTCTTTGTTTCCGGGTAAATCCACGTCACTGAAGTTTTTATGTCTGACCTCTCCTGATAATATTTAGATATATTTACCGTCTCATCTTCGTTAACCACAGCTGTCGTCGTGTTCGCAGGAACGTCTGGATATTTAAGGCCTTTCTTCTGTTTAGGGTTAAAGGTCAAACAGAATAAAAAAACAATATAAAGCACTTTGATCCTCATCTTTGAATGAAAGGGATCGATAAAGTCTGATTGATTTATTGATTGAGAAAATGTGTGCACAGTGATCTCAAAGCTGGTTAAAAAGCTCTGATGCTGATGATGGTGATAATCATGGCGGTGACGGCGTCTTCCTGCAGGCGGTGGGCATCATGGAGTGCGTCCTGAGGAAGTTCGGTTCCTACGAGAACTTCGAGGAGGTGACGGGCGGCGGCGTCCTCCCGAAGAGTCAGGTTTGGGCGGCTGTTCGTAAATACCTGCAGAAAGAAGGCTGCGTGGGAGAGGTGAGGGCGCAGATCACATGACCAACACACACTGCATCACCTGTAGATCAGAGAAGAAGAACTTCATTCATCTCCGAGGGTTAACTCAGTCAGTCAGGGTTGGGCGGTATCCAAATCTTCGTACAGGCCGAGACCGAGTATTTTGTCTCTGCATCAGTGCAGGTTTCTAACGGACACGGTCCCTTCTGTACTTCGTTGTTTTCCTCCATCATTGCTGGTTGTGTATTCATGGCGGTGGACTCAGTTCTTGGGAGGCGTTGAAACTGCTGCGCTGAGTGAACTCGGGGACAAATGCGTCCTCGCAGCAGAGAGCGGGTGGTTGATTCGGACATGTGTCCTCAGGTTCGAAGTGTCTCCATCTCTCGGGCTCGCCTCATTATTAAACTATCCACTCATATTTATCACTAGATTTAGAAAAAGAAACATTATTTTGCTCTGTCCTCCTCCACTCTCCGTTTCTCCCTCGCCCCGGTCAAAATACCGTTCGAGATAACCATGATATGAAGCTCAGATTCTCAGCTGTCTGTCAGCGTTGGAATCTTTCAGATTAAACAAACTTTAAAGGAGTTACGGTATTAAGAAGATGTGTAGCGCTCTGCCAACCTCATATGGTTACGACTACCGTAGTTAATCCTATAAAGGTGCACACTCACAACTCTCAGACTTTGAGGGAGTTACGGTAAAAACACTCCAGGCATACAACCTCAGCGCCGGCGCCATGACGGGATTAAAACTGATCATCTTTTGAAAGACACGGCGGTTTACCGTCTCACCGCCCTACAATCACACACTTCAGATGTTGGATCTGAAGTTTGTTCTTTTGTCCTGATGAAGATCTCAGAAAATATCTCCAGACCTGTTTTGTCATGACCTCACAACCGTACGGTGGACGAGAACCGCCACTGCTGCAAATAAAAAAGAATGCAAAAAAAAAAAGAAGCTTCGACGGAAGTTTACAGAGCAAAAAAAAAGAAAAAAGGAACTGAAGCCGGCTGAAAATGAAAGAAGAAACGCTGCAGATAACAGAGAAGTTACAGAGAAGTTACTGCACACATAAAAGGATGTGAAGCCGGCTTCTTCGGGTTCTTCTTTTTGCAGCAGTAACTTCCACTGTGACTCTTTTTTTTGCTTCTTTTTTTTGCAGCAGTGGCGGCTCTCGGCCTCCGTATAACTGCCATCAGTACTAAACATTTGATCTCACCGACTTTGACTCACCATCAATATCCAGGATCTGCTGCAGACGCTGAAGATTCAGAGGAATCAAACTGAGCGCCTCTTTTATTTTTGACGGTTATTAAAATAAGAGAAACTTGATGAACTTGAACTTTATTGATCCTTGAAGAGAAGGTCAATAAATAAGTGAACTATTATTCTTTTATCAGCGTCTATAATTCAGACCTGCTCTCAGTTCGCCACCTCTGACTTGTTTTTTTGGGGGGCGGAGCTTCAGCTCACTTTTGACCACCCCTTCCAGTTCTTGTTTGGTCGAGTTTCTCATAAACCAGCAGGTCCAGTTTCACAAAACGAAACAGCTGATCTCCTTCAGTCAGCTGATCTTCTTTTTTCTGATTAAAAACACTCGCCACCGACCAATCAGAGTCAAGAAAAGGAACTTCTAAGTATCACATGACCTCCTCTCCTCAGGTGGTGGTGCGTCTGTCTGATGAGCTGCTGTCTCAGGCCGTCATGGTGGTGGAGAGCTGTCGGCCCACTCTGACCATCAACCTGGCGGGAGCTCGGCAGCACTGGCTGGAGGGGATGCTGCGGCACGAGATCGGTGTGAACACACACACACACACACACACACACACACACACACACGCTGATGGTCAGCTGATCCAGCAGTGGTCAGCTGACACCGTCGTTTTCCTCCATGTGAATCTTCATGTATCTCTGGTGGCGTAGGAAGTAGGAATCAAGGAAAGGATGTAACTTCAGGGGTCTGAGACATGTCCTTGGTGGTCTCTGCTCGCTCTCTGTTTTCAACCATGAAGTCACATGACCTCTGAGAAGTGCAGAGGAAGTGTTGGCGTTGCTGTAGGAAGTAAACAAAGTCCCGCTCTCCTCAGGGACTCATTACCTGCGTGGGGTGAACAACAGTCTGCAGCCGTGGGCGTCCTCAGAGGGCAGGAAACAGTTCGGCCTCAAACCGGCCAATCCCACGGAGGAGGGCTTGGCCAGCCTGCACAGCGTGTTGCTCCGGAAACAGCCCTACCTGTGGCGTGCGGCGCTGCTGTACTACACGGTGTTCCACGCCGCCAGCATGAGCTTCAGCCAGCTCTTCAGACACATCGCACGCTTCGTCCAGGACCCCGACGTCCGCTGGGAGTACTGCCTGAGGGCCAAGAGGGGCCAGACGGACACGTCGCAGCCAGGTGAGGACACGCACACACACACGCACACACACACACACACACACACACACACACACACACACACACACACACACACACACACACACACATTAGTCTGTGAAGTCGTTAGAGGCGACAGGAATCGTTCATCACATCTTAATCTTCCTCATATTTGAAGAGCTCACGCCTTCTTAGTACACTGGGATCGGTTAAGTCAGTGAGTCACCGTACACACAAGCTGCAAAGGACTCTGGGATACCTGGTGGCATGGATCTGGTTGGCAGTGCCACTCCCAGACTCCTGATGTCTAAATCTGAAGCCTGTGAAGCCGGTTTCATCGAAAACCTCGGTCTGTTTCAGACACGAGTATGAAAGAACGTCAAACTCTGATCAGACCCTGAGATGGTCCTCTGGATCTTCTAGAAGAGCTGGACTCTCATCAGGTTGTGGATTCTTTATTTTGACTCTATGAGCTGCAGGTCAGACCTCTGTCCACCAGGGGGCAGGAGCATCTGCAGCCTGAGAGGCCAAAGTGAGGGCAAAGAAACCTGACGTTTCACCTTCATGTATTTATGGATAATAATAATAGTAGTAAGAAGAAGAACAATAATAATAATAAAAATAAATTATTAATAATAATAATAATTATTAGTATATAATAATAATAATATTAACAATAATAATAATAATAAATTATTAATAATAATAATAATTATTAGTATATAATTTTAATAATATTAACAATAATAATAATAAAAAATTACGTATTAATTAATAATAATATTAATAATGATAATAATATATGTATTTTTTTCTTTATATTTATAATAATAATATCAGAGGGATCTTTGAAACTTAAAGCTTCAGTAAGTAATTTTGATCTACTTCATCTGAACCTGCAGAGTTTGATATTCAGTCTGTTTAAATCAGTGTTTATGAAGGGGTCTGTATACCTGCAGAGGGGTGGGTCCTCTTCTATAGAGGCCGCCATCTTTCTACAGTAGCTCAGAACGGACAAACTAGTGATCCACGTGTTTTTGTGTTTAGTGAGTTTAGGACAAAGAACAGGATAAGTATCATCATCACTGAAGCTTCTTGTCCTTAAAGGCCACCGTAGCTTCACTGATGCGAGGAGTGAGCACGCCGTCCAGAACCTGACTGATTCAAGTCTCATAAAAAAAACTTTTTTCTGCACAGTAGAAGGTGACTCTGTGTGTGTGTGTGTGTGTGTGTGTGTGTGTGTGTGTGTGTGTGTGTGTGTGTGTGTGTGTGTGCAGGTTGCTTCAGTAAAGACCAGGTTTATCTGGACGGGATTCTCCGGATCCTTCGCCATCGCAGAAACATCGACTTCAAGATGCTGACATCTTTAGGAAAGGTCGGTATGGTGTGTGTGTGTGTGTGTGTGTGTGTGTGTGTGTGTGTGTGTGTGTGTGTGTGTGTTGTTTCTCTCTAAAAACCCGTCAGACGTTCATGAATCTTCCCGGTCTGAAGGGTTGCTCCTCCCTCATGACGAAACCATAAATAAAATTCCCTGAAAGTTCAGAGTCGTTTTTTCTGAAGATGAGGAGAAACTGCTAATGATTCAACACTGACTCCATAACTGCAAATTTAATATGAAGTCAAAACAAAATGGTCATAAAAACTCCATATTGGTCACGCCTTTAACTATTTGTTTACTCATCTAAACTAAGACTGTCGCCGACCACATCGCTGTTGTAATAAAATGTTAAAATCCTGTCAGAGAAGGTCAAAGTTCACCAGAGTCATAGAACTTGGATTAGCATTCACCACGAGCAGCGACCTTATTAAACTCAAAACAATCACATCCTAGAGTGACCAGGCCAGGCGACGCCAGGCCACTGCGAAACGGCCCGGTGGTCCCGATGGTCCAGTCCACCACTGAGTTCTGGACTCTGGGTTCACGGTCATCGTACGGGGAAAATTCAACCAAGACTCGACAGTGCGACTGTTTCACTGCGACTAGAAATAGATGTGTGTGATGTGTAAAATGTATTTAGGGTCACGTGCGAATAAAAATAATCAACAAATGTTTTTTTTCCTGTAAATACGGCGGTGAAGTTAGTTTCAGGTTGGATATATTTTCCTGTAAATACGGCGGTGAAGTTAGTTTCAGGTTGGATATCTGACGGACATTCTCTGAGGATCTACCGGTGTCTTCTCACTCTACGGTGAAGTTAGTTTCAGGTTGGATATATTTTCCTGTAAATACGGCGGTGAAGTTAGTTTTAGGTTGGATATATTTTCCTGTAAATACGGCGGTGAAGTTAGTTTCAGGTTGGATATATTTTCCTGTAAATACGGCGGTGAAGTTAGTTTCAGGTTGGATATATTTTCCTGTAAATACGGCGGTGAAGTTAGTTTCAGGTTGGATATATTTTCCTGTAAATACGGCGGTGAAGTTAGTTTCAGGTTGGATATATTCTCCTGTAAATACGGCAGTGAAGTTAGTATCAGGTTGGATATATTTTCCTGTAAATACGGCGGTGAAGTTAGTTTCAGGTTGGATATATTTTCCTGTAAATACGGCGGTGAAGTTAGTTTTAGGTTGGATATATTTTCCTGTAAATACGGCGGTGAAGTTAGTTTCAGGTTGGATATATTTTCCTGTAAATACGGCGGTGAAGTTAGTTTCAGGTTGGATATATTTTCCTGTAAATACGGCGGTGAAGTTAGTTTCAGGTTGGATATATTTTCCTGTAAATACGGCGGTGAAGTTAGTTTCAGGTTGGATATATTCTCCTGTAAATACGGCGGTGAAGTTAGTATCAGGTTGGATATATTTTCCTGTAAATACGGCGGTGAAGTTAGTTTCAGGTTGGATATATTTTCCTGTAAATATGGCGGTGAAGTTAGTTTCAGGTTGGATATCTGACGGACATTCTCTGAGGATCTACCGGTGTCTTCTCACTCTCCATAACCGGGAATAACAACAGCAGCGCGGTTAAATCTACTCGACACCCTCACTGTCAACGTCGGTGTTGAATAAGGGACCGTCAATAAATTACCGGTTGATGTTCTCAGAAAAGGCTGTTTTCCTTCAATAGCTTCACTGTCATGTGACCAAAAGACCTAAAATTGATTTGTAATAATAGTACTTAGGTTGATCAATAAGACAAACATTATTGATCCTTTTTCATTGATCCCCTAAAGTTCTTTGTGCTCCTTACTTTTTTAACTCAGGAGAACATGTGAACAAAGTTCCAGTCGAACCCTGTCGACTTTTTCTAACTTCTCATTTCTTATTAAAAAATGTTTCTGACTTTAAGTTATAAAAATAAAAACTGCTGAGTTTGTTTTTCCTCCCGGTCCCTCAGCTGCTGTGAGGGCGGGTCTTTGAAGGGGCGGGTCTTTGAAGGGGCGGGTCTTTGTGAATGTTTGTGGATCCAGACCTGATCCGGTCCACGTCTGCCTGAAGAAGAAGAGTTTACCTGTTTTGAACACCTGAGGAGTTTTGTAGGTTTGTGTCTCTGTCTGTTTTAACCTCCCTCTTTACCTGTCCAGGTGTCCTTCGAGGACGTGGAGCGGCTGCGTCCCCTGGCGTCCCTCCCACGGACCAGAATCCCTCACTTCATGCGAGATCAGGAGCGTTACCTGCAGCACCTGGATCACATCGTCGCCGTCAACGAGCTGGACGATTCCACGCTGCAGCAGCTGCTGCCCTGAACCGTCCTGCTCCTCCAAGCCCCGCCCCCTTCTCTGACTCCGCCCTGGACCACCTGAGTCCGGGTGGAGGAGGGGGGGGTCAGACTGTGTCATGTGGTGAATATCATTTCAGACGTTCAGTATTATCGGCGCTTTGTCTGAGCGTTTTTTTGTAAAACTTGAAAGATGTGAAAAAGGGACGAACAAGCTAACACCTGTCTCACCTGTCTCACCCGTCTCACCCCGTCTCACCTGTCTCATGCATGTTCATGTGGCTCCGTCACTGAGCCCCGACACTCTAAGTGCCCCTCCCCCCCTTTCTTCCTCATATACTCTGAATTTACCTCAACACTGCGACCCTACCATGTAACCTGCGTAAATCTGCGCTCCGACAGATCGTATTATTCCGACTCACTCGCTTTATTTATGCAAAGATTTCAGATTTTTTTTTACGCTTCGAGAACAAACTGAATGTCTCTGGTTTTTGAGCTTTACTCCTTTTTTTAGACCACCTTGTTTTTGCCTTAGATCGTTTGCGTTTGAAAGGACACCAAGGACACGAGGCTGCAGACGGTCGGCGCCGAGACCATCAACCTTTAAATCTCAAGTGCCAGTGGACTCAGTGAGACATCGTCAGAGTTAGAGTTAGATCATCGCCGAGCCTCACAATCAGCTGTGTTCGGAGGGTCCTTGGTGCTCTTTTCATATCAGTGTGCTACTGTGATTTGACCCGTCCCAAAGCTCTGAAACCAAACCCACTTTAGCCGCCGCGTTAAAGGAACAGTTCGTCACTCGCTCTCCTGTGGATGTCGTGTTCAGAGCGGGACGCTGCAGCGCTCTTACATCAGACATACATCAGTTTTTATACCACTCCAAAAGAAAAAACCTGCATGTCGATCATCAGATATCGGGATTTAACGGTTAGCATTTAAAGCTGCGGGATTTCAGCGCCATTAGTCGACTGATCTAACAGCTGTGGAGCGTCAGAACCGAGCAGAACCGCCGCTCCTCAGAGATGAAGCTGATGTTGGAAATGCCCAAAAACCGCACTTCCCTGAGTGTCCACTAGAGGCTGAACATGAGTGAATACAGACAGAAAGATGGACGCCGCTCTCGTCTCTGTTTGATATGAAGCTCAGCTGCTGAGATTTTACACCGAGTGTGTTCTCAGTGAACACACACACACACACACACACACACACGTTTACCCTCTACAGGCAGATTAATGTATGCTGTTTTTTTTTTTCTTACCAATTCAAAAGGATATTCTGGCGTTATATTAATTTAGGGTCAAACCCACTGTAACACCCAGTTAGACCCCGCCCCCTCCAGAGATGAATGTTGTCGACCGCTTCCTTCTCTAGTTATACCAACTTTAGTAACGACCGCAGGATAGTAATACAGAGAGCCACGCCCCCAACCAAAACGCCACTCTATAGCCACAAATAATGCTCAGAACAGCACCTAACTTCATCAACAGGACATATAGGGTCACAGACATAGTACTATATTCAGAAAACATAAACTTAAGCGGGGGCGTTTCTCCACCTCTGTAGTCTATAAACTGGGCCAATAAACTTCTACTGTAGTAAAATGAAAAGGTAAAGGTGTTTTTATTGAGCCGAATTATCAATAAAATCATGATTTTGTTAACAGGTATGGATTTATGTGCTGTTGAGTTAATATATGTGAACAAGAGCACAGTAAAGTTAAATCAGCTAATTTTCCAATGAGGTTCTGTTACTGAACGGAACTACACCATGTTCTACTGAGGTTAGTACATATAGGGTCACAGCCATAGTACTAGACACCAAACATCTTTTTAACTTTGACTCATTTCTTTAGCAAAGAGACTAAACACAACTCACCTACTCTCTTCCATTATGGACTACAGCGGGGTGCCGCAGCTCAAGGAAGAACATTTATGATCATTTCTTTATCATTTCCTTGAAGTAATAACATTCATCTCTGGAGGGGGGGGTCTGACTCGGTGTTACGGTGGGTTTGACCCTAAATTAATTTTTATCCCTTTAAAGTGGAAGAAATGAGAATTTGTCCGGGTTCAGTTTCAGGACTATGAACAGGTTCAGCAGATCTGAAGGGTCAGCTGTTTCCTGTTTAACAGCTGATCGTGTTTTTCCCTCCTTTTACCCTGGGAGACCCCAATCACCATAGCAACGGTGTCCATGTACAAGCAGACAAGAACAGGTGTGTAACTTTGGCCCCGTTAAGAGGACATATGGAAATGTAACAGTCATGGCTGAAGCCGCCGTTTCTCTAAACTGGTGAAAACGTTTTTTTCGTGGACCTGAGCGTTTAGGTCAGATTTTAAACGCGCTCGCTCTTTCCCGTGTCCGCCCTCGGTGTTGGCTAACAGGCTGTGGCTTCCTATCAAACGTACAGAGACAGAAATGAACAAATGTGGAACTGTTCCTTTAACGTGTAGTTTTAAGTGCCAAAGAGGCATTTTTAATTGACCTTTGACCTTCTTTGAGAGGCGGCCGATCATCGTAGCTCCTTGTCTCGACGGGATTCACCGTCTGGGGAAGAAGCCGGGTGTTGTTGGCGTGCCTTCGATGGGTGTCGCGCTCATCTGCTGTAGCTAGCCGTGTGTTTGTACGCTGCTTTTCAACGTGTTTGACTTTTCAGACTTCAGATGTCAGCAGGGCATTCAGCCGGGCCAAGAACCAGAACCAGAACCAGGTCTAAACCAGAGCATGTGGGCTACAGCCAGCCCACTTTTAACCTAAAACCGTGATGTGAAGCCTCCTCCACTGTTGCATTTTACACCTTTGGATCTGATCAGACTCTGTTTACACTCTCAGAATCGTTTTAAACTCGTAACTTTTGGCCTCAACGAATGCTCCTGTTTGTTACGCACGAATGTCGCACAAGTGCTTTCTGTCCTGGAAACTGATTTCCGGTTTATTTATTAAAAAGTTGACACACCTGACCGGACTCTGTCGTCTGTTTCCTGTTTACCCACCGTCACAGCAGCTGGAATAAAAACAGACGTTTCCTTTTTCTAGAGCTTCTCTCGTCGTTACATGAATGAGTGAATGCAACACGCTTTCCTACATTTGATCTGTGATCAACTTGTTTAGTCTCTCCGGAATGATGCCTGTGATCGATTAGTCACGCCTGCTGTAACCACAATACGGAGCAGGTTCTGGATGAAGCAGACTGAGGGGAGCTTCCTGTCTGAGCTTTATTGAAATTACAGGAATTATTATTATTTTCATTATTGTTATTATTATACTTATTATTATCATTAACTTTAAAACCTTTACACCCTCTGGGGCTCAAAAACTCCATGAATTTGGCAGCCGGGTCGACTTTATCGTACTGTACTCTGACATTTTTTCAGGGCTCTCAAGTTTTGAACTAAGCTTAGAGTGAGATTTCCTGGGGGGGGGGGGGGGTGAAGATAACTATTAGTATAATTATCTCTTAAATACAACGGAGCACAAGGGGCACAATTAGAAAAAAACGTTTTTATATCTTACAGAATAAAGTTATTATTTGGGAGAATAAAATCATTAATGTATAAGTATTAAGTCGTAAAGTTGTTAAAATCTGCACTGTGGAGCATTTAGATGAATTGTACTTTAGTATAGGTTTCACAAACATGGAGATACTTAATCCTTTGGTACATGAGCATTACACTGTCATGAGTATCAGAACTTATATTTGAGATATATGAGAAATGCAGCTTTTGTGGAGGGGAAAATGGCTGGAAATGGCTGTACGGAGGCTAAATCCGTCAATACAGCTGTTAATAGCAATAGCATAGGGCTTTAGTTTATCATATGAGTTTATCTGCCATGAGGTGTTGAGGTCTCTGCATGTGTCGGTTACTGACTTACTGTAATCATCGGGTCTTTCTCGTCCTTATAAATAACCTGCTCTATTACGGCGAGTGTCTGTCTTCTGTAGTCAAACCGCAAGATATCAAAATCTACCCGGATACAGCAATGCTGCTTTTTGATTGGCTGTTCAGTAGATATACTTTATTTGATTGGCTTGCGCGTGGCACGCAGCTTCTGAACTCTCGGAGGAACTCAGTTGATTCGTACCTGTTCCATAGTTAAAGAGGTGCAACTTGGTGAACATCACCATGTTCATTTAAATGCGTGAGAAATACGATGTGTGGCGTGTGAGCGTGTGAACAGGTGGGAATGCGTGTGTCTCACGCTGAGTGCGTGAGACTTGAGAGCCCTGATTTTTTAACAAACTATACTTCGACATTTTTATCATACTAAACTATATATTTAATATATTGCTCTGACATTTTTTCATACTTCAGTTTAATTTTTTTTCACTTTCCTTTGTTTATACTTTAATGTATAGTAGTGGTGCAACGGATCATCATTGATCCGTGATCCGTTCGGATCGACGTATTCGGTTCGGCACACATGTGATCCGCGGATCGATTTCTGAAAGCGGAGAAAGGAGGAGCTCGAACGCCCCGCGACACTTAAATCCCCTGTATGGGAGCATTTTGGCTTCCCTGTCAATTATGATGAAGAAGGAAAGAGGTCAGTGTACAAAACTGCGACGGAGTGTAGGCACTGTGGCATAAGAAAGCCATATGACAGTGGAAACACATCGAGCATGTTCACGCATTTGAAGCGACATCACCCGGGTGTTTTACTGACAGGTGTTGTGCCGTAGATTGCACCCCTGCCGTAGAACGCACCCCCTGCATCCCCTCCACCCGTTAGCTTCTTAAAGTGGAGATAATGATCTCATATTTGATATGAATAGCCTGAATGAAATTATTAAAGGCAAACGCTGTTGAATACATCCAACGTAAGGAAAACTTGTATTATTTCGCCTTGTTATGTACTTTCAACCGCGCTCCCGTTAGGGGGTGCACTATACGGCAGGGGTGCATTCTTTGGCATAACACCTGAGATAAAACGAAAGCTGCCCAACAACCGCTCATCACCGCAGCATTTAAGCAGCCTCTTCCTGCGCAATCCGACCAGGCTAAAGCTTTCACAAACTCTATCGGTGTGTTTATAGCTGCAGACATGAGGCCGTATTCAGTTGTGCAAAACGAGGGCTTTAAAAACATGCTGAAAGTGCTTGAGTCACGTTACGACATCCCATCGCGCACACACTTCATTTCTGGTTCATTGTTACATTTTAAAGGAAGGAGATATGCCTGTATACTGTACTTTAAGTTGTTTTTCATGAATAATTATATTAAAAAGAAGATATTATGCCCTGTGCACTACTTTTATATATATATTATTTATATATATTTTTTCTTTTTGCTGATCCGAAAAATGATCCGATCCGTGACTCTTGATCCGAGGAACGATCCGATCCGTGAGTTTTGTGATCCGTTGCACCACTAATGTATAACTTTACCATACTATAATATGGCATTTTTATCACACTGTACTATGACATTTTATCATCATACTATCCTATGATGTTTTTATCATTTTATCCAATGACTTTTTTTATTATACTATATTTTTATCAAACTGTACTATAACATTTTTATATCATACTATAGTCTGACATTTTTTTTTATCACACTATGATATTTCTGTGTTAGGCAGTGTAACAGGGCGGTGGTCTGCTGAGGTGGTGAGATGACACGGCCCGTTTGTGCCCCTTTTTGTTTTTTGTTTTTAAATACCGACGAAGTATAAATGTTCTATAATGTTTTTAATCTTCTATAATATAGAAGTTTAGTTTACTTTTTGACGGTAAACTGAAACCGTTTTAAACTCGTTCAGCTTCACTCAGTCTGCTGCTGCCATGACGCCACAGGAGGACACCACAGGGGGGCGCTGTTTAGTTACTGTAAAGTGTAGATGCAGTTGTGTGTTATCAGTTAAAAACAGGAAGGTTTAGTTTCGTCTGATTTGATTCTTTTATTACTGTGAAAATATTGTTCACCCAAAGACGTTAAAATATTTTAAAAAAGGAGTTAAATTCTGGTTTCCTCCAGATTTCCTCTTCGGTCGACCCGCTGCTGTCAGAGGAGGGAAGAGTCAATAAAGACGGACACAGAGGGTCCTTTAAATAAAAATGGTTTATTCTCTTAATATAGCTTTTTGTTCTATCCAGAGCAGAGGGGAGCCTCCGAGCCGCTCCATGCTAAAACCTGGAACTGGACCTCAGGTCAGCACGGCATCGTAATGACCGACAAACGTCTTTACAGCACAACACCGGCATGACGCTGACACACCCACAGTCACTCTGCTCACTCTTTAAAAACAGGAGGGAGGGGCGGGACAAGGGGGAGGAGGAAGAGGAGGAGGAGGAAGAGGAGGGGGGGGTCAGACCTGAGTCTAGATCTGGTATATCTGACCCAGACCCAGCAGAACAGATCCCGGGCCGGGCTCTGCAGGGAGAAGTTGAATCTGTGTGTTTGTGTAAAACTGACATCTTGCTCCAGTATGGCTGTCGATGTGGAGGCAGAGAGGTCTGCCACGAAAAGGTCACAAGCTGAGGTAACAAAAGATCTTCCTGCCGAGAGAAACACACAAACACACAGACCGTCAGGACCGCCGTCAGGACCACCGTCAGGACTTTGTGGGGACAGAATTTTTATCAAACTAAACTTTGGTATTTTTTTTATCATACTATACGATGACATTTTGTCTAAAATAAAACATTGTTATCATACTGAAATATGACTTTTTAACGTTCTTCACAGTGACATGTTATCACACTATCCTTTGAGTTTTTCACACTAAAATGTGGAACTTTAATCACAGTATACTGTGACATTTTAATCATACTGTCCTGTTACCTTGTTTTAATTCTTTTTATCACACTCTGCCTTACAGGGATTTGAAACCAGGACCTTGTTGTTGTGTTCTCTGTCAGGGCCGATATTTTAATCATTATATTCTATCATACTGTACTATGATATTTTTATTATACTATACTATAATATTTCACATTCCTGTACTAAAACATCATACACTATGACTGCTGAGTGTTGACAGTCAGTTCTGGATCTTCAAAAGAAAATCTGATCAGATTAAAACTTCAAAGTGAGTTTTTTTAAACAAAGGTGGGATTTCAGAGTTCGACCTGATCAGGATTTCTTTTTAGGTTGTTGTTCAAACTTTGGAGTAAAATCATGAGAAACCAGATGATCCTAAAACCTGCAGCTGAACGATCACACTGAGGATTCAAACCTGGAAACAGATTCGACTGTTGAATTTAAACAGGACAGGTCATTATTTGTGTGTGTGTGTGTGCGTGCGTGTGTGCGTGTTACCTGCTCTCTGGGTATCATGTGGCGTTGGAGCTGCTTATGGCCTTCGTGCCGTCTGTGTTGGCGTTTGCATGTTCCTTCACCACAGGATCTGAGAGACAGAACGCAGTTAGTCTGAGAACACACGAGCAGGAAACAGGTGAGAGGTCAACACAGGTCAGACAGGTGAGAGGTCAACACAGGTCAGACAGGTGAGAGGTCAACACAGGTCAGACAGGTGAGAGGTCGGCACAGTTTCTTCCTAAGAGCCATCGCCACCTTGAACTCCCATAGAAAACAACCCCAGCCTTGAACACATGAGTAACGTGCAAAATACTTACTACTGACACTGCTGCTATGGGAATCCCATCTCAATATGTATATATACACTCACCGGCCACTTTATTAGGTACACCATGCTAGTAACAGGTTGGACCCCCTTTTGCCTTCAGAACTGCCTCAATTCTTCGTGGCATAGATTCAACAAGGTGCTGGAAGCATTCCTCAGAGAGCTTGGTCCATATTGACATGATGGCATCACACAGTTGCCGCAGATTTGTCGGCTGCACATCCATGATGCGAATCTCTCGTTCCACCACATCCCAAAGATGCTCTATTGGATTGAGATCTGGTGACTGTGGAGGCCATTTGAGTACAGTGAACTCATTGTCATGTTCAAGAAACCAGTCTGAGATGATTCCAGCTTTATGACATGGCGCATTATCCTGCTGAAAGTAGCCATCAGAAGTTGGGTACATTGTGGTCATAAAGGGATGGACATGGTCAGCAACAATACTCAGGTAGGCTGTGGCGTTGCAACGATGCTCAATTGGTACCAAGGGGCCCAAAGAGTGCCAAGAAAATATTCCCCACACCATGACACCACCACCACCAGCCTGAACCGTTGATACAAGGCAGGATGGATCCATGCTTTCATGTTGTTGACGCCAAATTCTGACCCTACCATCCGAATGTCGCAGCAGAAATCGAGACTCATCAGACCAGGCAACGTTTTTCCAATCTTCTATTGTCCAATTTCGATGAGCTTGTGCAAATTGTAGCCTCAGTTTCCTGTTCTTAGCTGAAAGGAGTGGCACCCGGCGTGGTCTTCTGCTGCTGTAGCTCATCTGCCTCAAAGTTCGACGTACTGTGCGTTCAGAGATGCTCTTCTGCCTACCTTGGTTGTAACGGGTGGTTATTTGAGTCACTGTTGCCTTTCTATCAGCTCGAACCAGTCTGGCCATTCTCCTCTGACCTCTGGCATCAACAAGGCATTTCCGCCCACAGAACTGCCGCTCACTGGATATTTTTTCTTTTTCGGACCATTCTCTGTAAACCCTAGAGATGGTTGTGCGTGAAAATCCCAGTAGATCAGCAGTTTCTGAAATACTCAGACCAGCCCTTCTGGCACCAACAACCATGCCACGTTCAAAGTCACTCAAATCACCTTTCTTCCCCATACTGATGCTCGGTTTGAACTGCAGGAGATTGTCTTGACCATGTCTACATGCCTAAATGCACTAAGTTGCCGCCATGTGATTGGCTGATTAGAAATTAAGTGTTAACGAGCAGTTGGACAGGTGTACCTAATAAAGTGGCCGGTGAGTGTATACATATACATATATATATATACATACATATATATATATACATATATATATATATATATATATATATATATGTATATGTGTATATATATATATATATATATATATATACATATATATATATATATATATATGTATATATATATATATATATATATATATATATATATATATATATATATATATATATATATATATATATATATATATATATATATATATATATATATATATATATATATATATATATATATATATATATATATATATATATATATATATATATATATATATATGATTCTTAATATTTATCTCCTGTCCTTTTCTTGTACATAGTTTCCATTTTCACTTCACTGCTCTAGAGGATTTTTTCTTGTATATTTTCTGTATTTTGTTCTTTTAATTCGGTTTGTTTTTCCTTTTTTTGTATCTATTCCACTGAAAATGAAGAAGCTCTCCAATCTGTTTGTACCTTCTGTATAAAGACAATAAAGAGCATTCGGATTCAGAGGTCAGAGGTCAACACAGGTGAGAGAGAGGACCTGAGGGAGCTTTCATGTTTGACCTCCATTTGTTTTAGTGAACTTAGTGTCATGTTTACTTTCTTAGCGTTCCTACATACAGCTGTGTGTGTGCATGTGTGTGTGTGCATGTGTGTGTGGACTCACAGAAGTAGGGGTGCTGCATGGCCTCAGCAGCCGTCAGTCTCTGCTGGTGGTCGTAGCGCAGTAGTTTGTCCAGCAGGTCCAGAGCCTCTGGACTCACCAGGTGCTGGTTCTCGGACTGGATGAACTGTTCCCAGCGCTTACGGGTTTGTCTGCAAACACACGACACATCAGGTTATCGCACATCGCAATAAGACAAGTAAAAGCAATAATCGACACGGACGATAACATCGGCCGATATTCAACATCTTTGCGATAACCGTCATCGGTGGTTTTTCCACCGATAAATGAAGTTTATTTTCAAACGGCTCATTCGACTTTCACACCGCCGCTTCCTCCGCCTGATGTCACCGCCACTCTTGGCTGTGTAACAAAGTCCCGCCTACAGTCCACACTGATTGGCTACACAGACAGCCAATCAGGCTTGGAGGTGCAGCTCCACAGTGAGAGAGTCGATCTTTACGGTCTGACACCAGAACAAACGTTTCTCACTGAATATCAGTGATCAGCTCTAAAAAACAAACACATCAGTCCATCCTCAGTACGAACTTCCTGTTTGGTCACGGACAGTGGGGGTTGTGCTGTTCCGTCTGCCCCCCTCCTCTGATACTCACTGTCCCAGCAGGTCTTTGAAGCGAGTGTCCAGCTCTATGTGATATTTGTGCAGGTATCCAAAGAGCTCATCTGTGCCCAGGACTTTAGCGATACGGACCAGCTGTAAAAACAAGGAACAGACCTTTATTATTCAGATCAGGTCTGCTCTAAATCACAGAGAACCAATCACAGTCCAGTTTGAAAGGATGTGGATCTGTTACAGGATCCGATGATTCTGCCGATGAAAGTGATCGGCGTTTTTAACCTGCTGTGATTCTGCTCTAAAGTCCAACTCTCTGTTGGTTCTGGTCGGTCGTGTGTGTTGAAGCTGCTGAACTGATCTGTAGTATCATCACTCACCACAAGAGGGCAGCAGATACTGTAACTGCGCAGGATGTTCCCTCTTCAATCTGCACCTTTTTCAAAGATCTCTGATTTTATTTGTGATTTATCTTTTAACGAGTCGATCAACTTCAGCTTCAACAGCAGCAGGGGGTTCGATCCTGGACTGAATCAAGGTTTCCTGTTTCCTCATCTGCCTAAAGTCCTGAAACCATCGGCACACGTGGAGGACGGAGGTGAGAGTCAGTGTGTCAGACTCCAACAGGAACCTCAATGTGGGATAAATCAGATTATTCTGTCAATTCTGTTGGGATGTAAATATGATGCATGAACATCTTTATTAACTCAGAGTTTCTTTATCTTAGTGTCTTTCCTCTGCTGCTGTAAATATCTCCGACGATCACAGGAACATCTTATCTTTTATAAACATGCACCAACAAATCAGCCGGCCGATCAATCGGCGCCGATTTCCTCAGTTTTGGGGGCTCAGTGATCAGCTGATCTTTACATACAAAACCGATTTGATCCTCCGATCTCATCGACCTCAGCTGTTGTTGCTTTTAGCTTTCGTCAGAATGATAGGCCCCGCCCACCAGTTCAGTTCGTCCTGTCGATGATTATTTTAAAAAACTGCTGTGAACTTTATTTTGGTAAAACAGACCTGCAGTCTGAGCTGAATGAAAACAAATATGGTTCATTTTTAAAACGTGGAAAATAAAAAACTGATTTAATTTATTAGTTTGGACAGAAATATTTGTAACTTTTCATTTATATCTGCGAGAAGTTCCTCATGTGCAGTTAAACACTAAAGTTTATACTGTTTCATGATTTTCATTAAAATAAGATCAGAGCATCGAAGGTTCTTGTCGTCAGTTTTAAATAAAGAAGTATCGGCCAAAATCGTGATCGGCAGGTCGAGCTTTTTAAAGATCGGTGAATCGGTGCAGCCCTGATCTCATCTTATCTTACTGTCTGGGTCAGTCCTGGTCTGCAGTTTTTGGTCTCAGGTGGGGGGTCTCTGTGAAGCAGGACTCTTCAGGTGGTACTGTACCTGGTCGTAGTTGTCCTGGCCGTGAAAGAACGGTTCCTTCAGAAAGATCATGCTGGCCAACATGCAGCCTAAACTCCACATGTCCAGACTGTAGTCATACATCTGAGGGGGGGAGGGGCAAAAACACTCAGTCACTCATACATGCAGGGACCAAACATCATTAACATAATAATAACAACAATAATAATAACAACAACAACAACAACAATAATAATAATAATAATAATAATAACATCATTAACATAATAACAATAATAATAATAATAATAATAATAATAATAATAATAATAATAACAATAATAATAATAATAATAATAATAATAATAATAATAATAATAACATCATTAACATAATAATAACAACAATAATAATAATAATAATAATAACATCATTAACATAATAATAATAATAATAATAATAATAATAATAATAACATCATTAACATAATAACAATAATAATAACAATAATAATAATAATAATAACATCATTAATATAATAACAATAATAATAATAATAATAATAATAATAATAATGATAATGATAATAATAATAATAATAATAATAATAACAATAATAATAATAATAACGTCATGAAGAGTGAGGAGCAGACGGAGCGTCACCTGATAGTCCACTAGGAGCTCCGGGCCTTTGAAGTAGCGAGACGCCACCCTGACGTTATATTCCTGAGCGGGATGGTAGAACTCGGCCAAACCCCAATCTATGAGACGCAGCTGAGACACAGAGAAGGAGGAGCAGAGTCAGGGATCTGGGTCAGACCACAGAGACCGCGTCCTGTGGTCTTAGTCACAGGTTCATCAGAGACCCTGAGGGACTTCTTCATCAGTCTGTTTTCACTCTGACCCACCGTCTCAGAACCTCCAGGTCCAAACCTACATGAACGTGTCGGTCTGTTCGGAGAAGATCGGATCTTCTCGTTGAGGTCAGAGGTCAGAGGAGCACAAACATGAACTTTGGTGACCTTTGGTGACCTGCTCACCTTTCTCAGCTGGTGGTCGATCATCACGTTATGAGGCTTCACATCCCGGTGCATGATACCCATACTGTGACAGTAATCCAGAGCCTGTGAGCGCACACACACACACACACACACACACACACGTGCACACACACACACACACACATTAAAAACCTCTGAATATCTCTGAATGTTTTCAGTCAATGATCTTCTTGGTAGGGCTGGGCGATACGGGAAAAAGTTGATCATGATATTTTTTGTTCATATCAGTCGATATCGATCAATATCAGAGTATAATAATGAGATGTATCAGTGTTTCGTTTCTGTGTTTTCAAATAAAAACTGTTCAGTTATTTTGTGTTTTCCTGTGAGTTTTTATTCGTCCTTCACTCAGAGTCGGGAACTTTCCTCTCACCTGTTTTTATCTTCACCTTCACATCCTGGTTTGTTGTGTGTGAATGTCAGAAGTGAGTCTGATGATGTTTTATTGTGTTCATGTTGACCGTGAATATGACTAATATCATCTCACACGACTTGTTCTTCAGCTAATGATCTAATTCTTACCCTGGCTGCTGTGAGCCACGGTCTTTGTTTACCATAAATGAGTCATTGATCATGTGATCGGTTACTGAACTCAGTCCTTTATATTCAGTTCTATTACATATGTTCATGTTCTGTACGCTGTGATCTGGACTGATTGTTGTTTTGGATCTTTATCTTCAGAACCACAGTCACACACACACACACACACACACACACACACACACACACACACACACACACACTGAACACCTGAGCGCTCTGAACCGGAGAAATCCTGGAGAACAAACTTTTCTCCTTTTAATGACGACCATTGAAGAAGCATATCGATCATGTTTTATATTGATATGGAGGGAAATTCATTTTCAATATATACTGTTGTGGTTTGATCGCCCAGCCCTCCTCCTCCTCCTCCTCCTCCTCCTCCTCCTTCTCCTCCTCCTCCTCCTCCTCCTCCTCCTCCTCCTCCTTCTCCTCCTCCTCAGTGTGGACTCTAACTAAACATGAAGATGATCCGGACAAAGGTTCGGGTTTTTACCTTGAGCAGCTCGTACATGTAGTATCGAATATCATAATCTGTCAGCTTCTGGTAAAGCTCCTGTCAATCAAAACGAACAAGTGTCAGTCAAAGTGAGGAGGTCAAAGGTCATCAGGAGGACCATGAGCTTCAGGAATCATGGAGATGAAAGTTTGTGACCCACCTTAAAATCTGTGTTATTGATGCACTCGAAGACGAGCGCAGGAGTCCTGGACTGAGAGAGAGAGAGAGAGAGAGAGAGAGAGATCAGCTGATCACTGTGACCACACACACACACACACACACACACACACACACACACACACACACACACACACACTCACCACTGGGTCTTTGACCGTGTCCACCAGACGGATGATGTTGGTTCCTCCGCGCAGGTTCTCCAGAATCTTGATTTCCCGTTTGATCTTCTTCTTCTTGACGGGCTGAGGAGGAGGAGGAGGAGGAGGAGGAGAGATGAAGACCAGAGGAGGAGGAGGAGGAGAGGGAGGAGAGATGAAGACCAGAGGAGAAGGAGGAGGAGAGGGAGGAGAGATGAAGACCAGAGGAGAAGGAGGAGGAGGAGGAGAGATGAAGACCAGAGGAGGAGGAGGAGGAGAGGAAGGAGAGATGAAGACCAGAGGAGGAGGAGGATGAGAGGAAGGAGAGATGAAGACCAGAGGAGGAGGAGGATGAGAGGAGGAGAGGAAGGAGAGATGAAGACCAGAGGAGAAGGAGGAGGAAGAGGAGAGGAAGGAGAGATGAAGACCAGAGGAGGAGGAGGAGGAGAGGAGGAGGAGAGATGAAGACCAGAGGAGGAGGAGGAGGAGAGATGAAGACCAGAGGGGGAGGAGGAGGAGGAGAGGAAGGAGAGATGAAGACCAGAGGAGGAGGAGGAGGAGAGATGAAGACCAGAGGGGGAGGAGGAGGAGGAGAGGAAGGAGAGATGAAGACCAGAGGAGGAGGAGGAGGAGGAGGACAGGAAGGAGAGATGAAGACCAGAGGAGGAGGAGGAGGAGGACAGGAAGGAGAGATGAAGACCAGAGGAGGAGGAGGAGGAGGAGGAGGAGAGATGAAGACCAGAGGAGAAGGAGGAGGAGGAGGAGAGATGAAGACCAGAGGAGGAGCAGGAGGAGGAGGAGGAGAGGGAGGAGAGATGAAGACCAGAGGAGGAGGAGGAGGAGGAGGAGAGATGAAGACCAGAGGAGAAGGAGGAGGAGGAGAAGAGATGAAGACCAGAGGAGGAGGAGGAGGAGAGGGAGGAGAGATGAAGACCAGAGGAGAAGGAGGAGGAGGAGGAGGAGAGATGAAGACCAGAGGAGGAGGAGGAGGAGGAGGAGAGATGAAGACCAGAGGAGGAGGAGGAGGAGAGGGAGGAGAGATGAAGACCAGAGGAGGAGGAGGAGGAGGAGAGGGAGGAGAGATGAAGACCAGAGGAGGAGGAGGAGGAGGAGGAGAGATGAAGACCAGAGGAGGAGGAGGAGGAGGAGGAGAGATGAAGACCAGAGGAGGAGGAGGAGGAGGAGGTGGAGAGATGAAGACCAGAGGAGAAGGAGGAGAGGAAGGAGAGATGAAGACCAGAGGAGGAGGAGGAGGAGAGATGAAGACCAGAGGAGGAGGAGGAGCAGGAGGAGGAGAGGAAGGAGAGATGAAGACCAGAGGAGGAGGAGGAGGAGGAGGAGGAGAGATGAAGACCAGAGGAGGAGGAGGAGGAGAGGGAGGAGAGATGAAGACCAGAGGAGGAGGAGGAGGAGAGGGAGGAGAGATGAAGACCAGAGGAGGAGGAGGAGGAGGAGGAGGAGAGATGAAGACCAGAGGAGGAGGAGGAGGAGGAGGAGAGATAAAGACCAGAGGAGGAGGAGGAGGAGGAGGAGGAGAGATGAAGACCAGAGGAGGAGGAGGAGGACAGGAAGGAGAGATGAAGACCAGAGGAGGAGGAGGAGAGGAAGGAGAGATGAAGACCAGAGGAGGAGGAGGAGGAGGAGGAGAGGGAGGAGAGATGAAGACCAGAGGAGGAGGAGGAGGAGGACAGGAAGGAGAGATGAATACCAGAGGAGGAGGAGGAGGAGGAGAGGAAGGAGAGATGAAGACCAGAGGAGGAGGAGGAGGAGGAGAGGAAGGAGAGATGAAGACCAGAGGGGGAGGAGGAGGAGGACAGGAAGGAGAGATGAAGACCAGAGGAGGAGGAGGATGAGAGGAGGAGAGGGAGGAGAGATGAAGACCAGAGGAGGAGGAGGAGGAGGAGAGGAAGGAGAGATGAAGACCAGAGGAGGAGGAGGAGGAGGACAGGAAGGAGAGATGAAGACCAGAGGAGGAGGAGGAGGAGGAGGAGGAGAGATGAAGACCAGAGGAGAAGGAGGAGGAGGAGGAGAGATGAAGACCAGAGGAGGAGCAGGAGGAGGAGGAGAGATGAAGACCAGAGGAGAAGGAGGAGGAGGAGGAGAGATGAAGACCAGAGGAGGAGCAGGAGGAGGAGGAGGAGAGATGAAGACCAGAGGAGGAGGAGGAGGACAGGAAGGAGAGATGAAGACCAGAGGAGGAGGAGGAGGAGAGATGAAGACCAGAGGGGGAGGAGGAGGAGGAGAGGAAGGAGAGATGAAGACCAGAGGAGGAGGAGGAGGAGGACAGGAAGGAGAGATGAAGACCAGAGGAGGAGGAGGAGGAGGACAGGAAGGAGAGATGAAGACCAGAGGAGGAGGAGGAGGAGGAGGAGGAGAGATGAAGACCAGAGGAGAAGGAGGAGGAGGAGGAGAGATGAAGACCAGAGGAGGAGCAGGAGGAGGAGGAGGAGAGGGAGGAGAGATGAAGACCAGAGGAGGAGGAGGAGGAGGAGGAGAGATGAAGACCAGAGGAGAAGGAGGAGGAGGAGAAGAGATGAAGACCAGAGGAGGAGGAGGAGGAGAGGGAGGAGAGATGAAGACCAGAGGAGGAGGAGGAGGAGGAGGAGAGATGAAGACCAGAGGAGGAGGAGGAGGAGGAGGAGAGATGAAGACCAGAGGAGGAGGAGGAGGAGATGGAGGAGAGATGAAGACCAGAGGAGGAGGAGGAGGAGGAGAGGGAGGAGAGATGAAGACCAGAGGAGGAGGAGGAGGGGGAGGAGAGATGAAGACCAGAGGAGGAGGAGGAGGAGGAGGAGAGATGAAGACCAGAGGAGGAGGAGGAGGAGGAGAGATGAAGACCAGAGGAGGAGGAGGAGGAGGAGGAGGAGAGATGAAGACCAGAGGAGAAGGAGGAGAGGAAGGAGAGATGAAGACCAGAGGAGGAGGAGGAGGAGAGATGAAGACCAGAGGAGGAGGAGGAGCAGGAGGAGGAGAGGAAGGAGAGATGAAGACCAGAGGAGGAGGAGGAGGAGGAGGAGGAGAGATGAAGACCAGAGGAGGAGGAGGAGGAGAGGGAGGAGAGATGAAGACCAGAGGAGGAGGAGGAGGAGAGGGAGGAGAGATGAAGACCAGAGGAGGAGGAGGAGGAGGAGGAGGAGAGATGAAGACCAGAGGAGGAGGAGGAGGAGGAGGAGGAGAGATGAAGACCAGAGGAGGAGGAGGAGGAGGAGGAGAGATGAAGACCAGAGGAGGAGGAGGAGGAGGAGGAGGAGAGATGAAGACCAGAGGAGGAGGAGGAGGACAGGAAGGAGAGATGAAGACCAGAGGAGGAGGAGGAGTTGTAGGAGAGATGAAGACCAGAGGAGGAGGAGGAGGAGGAGGAGAGGGAGGAGAGATGAAGACCAGAGGAGGAGGAGGAGGAGGACAGGAAGGAGAGATGAATACCAGAGGAGGAGGAGGAGGAGGAGAGGAAGGAGAGATGAAGACCAGAGGAGGAGGAGGAGGAGGAGAGGAAGGAGAGATGAAGACCAGAGGGGGAGGAGGAGGAGGACAGGAAGGAGAGATGAAGACCAGAGGAGGAGGAGGATGAGAGGAGGAGAGGGAGGAGAGATGAAGACCAGAGGAGGAGGAGGAGGAGGAGAGGAAGGAGAGATGAAGACCAGAGGAGGAGGAGGAGGAGGACAGGAAGGAGAGATGAAGACCAGAGGAGGAGGAGGAGGAGGAGGAGGAGAGATGAAGACCAGAGGAGAAGGAGGAGGAGGAGGAGAGATGAAGACCAGAGGAGGAGCAGGAGGAGGAGGAGAGATGAAGACCAGAGGAGAAGGAGGAGGAGGAGGAGAGATGAAGACCAGAGGAGGAGCAGGAGGAGGAGGAGGAGAGATGAAGACCAGAGGAGGAGGAGGAGGACAGGAAGGAGAGATGAAGACCAGAGGAGGAGGAGGAGAGGAAGGAGAGATGAAGACCAGAGGAGGAGGAGGAGGAGAGATGAAGACCAGAGGGGGAGGAGGAGGAGGAGAGGAAGGAGAGATGAAGACCAGAGGAGGAGGAGGAGGAGGACAGGAAGGAGAGATGAAGACCAGAGGAGGAGGAGGAGGAGGACAGGAAGGAGAGATGAAGACCAGAGGAGGAGGAGGAGGAGGAGGAGGAGAGATGAAGACCAGAGGAGAAGGAGGAGGAGGAGGAGAGATGAAGACCAGAGGAGGAGCAGGAGGAGGAGGAGGAGAGGGAGGAGAGATGAAGACCAGAGGAGGAGGAGGAGGAGGAGGAGAGATGAAGACCAGAGGAGAAGGAGGAGGAGGAGAAGAGATGAAGACCAGAGGAGGAGGAGGAGGAGAGGGAGGAGAGATGAAGACCAGAGGAGAAGGAGGAGGAGGAGGAGAGATGAAGACCAGAGGAGGAGGAGGAGGAGGAGGAGAGATGAAGACCAGAGGAGGAGGAGGAGGAGAGGGAGGAGAGATGAAGACCAGAGGAGGAGGAGGAGGAGGAGAGGGAGGGAGAGATGAAGACCAGAGGAGGAGGAGGAGGAGGAGAGATGAAGACCAGAGGAGGAGGAGGAGGAGGAGGAGAGATGAAGACCAGAGGAGGAGGAGGAGGAGGAGAGATGAAGACCAGAGGAGGAGGAGGAGGAGGAGGAGGAGAGATGAAGACCAGAGGAGAAGGAGGAGAGGAAGGAGAGATGAAGACCAGAGGAGGAGGAGGAGGAGAGATGAAGACCAGAGGAGGAGGAGGAGCAGGAGGAGGAGAGGAAGGAGAGATGAAGACCAGAGGAGGAGGAGGAGGAGGAGGAGGAGGAGAGATGAAGACCAGAGGAGGAGGAGGAGGAGAGGGAGGAGAGATGAAGACCAGAGGAGGAGGAGGAGGAGGAGGAGGAGAGATGAAGACCAGAGGAGGAGGAGGAGGAGGAGGAGAGATGAAGACCAGAGGAGGAGGAGGAGGAGGAGGAGGAGAGATGAAGACCAGAGGAGGAGGAGGAGGACAGGAAGGAGAGATGAAGACCAGAGGAGGAGGAGGAGAGGAAGGAGAGATGAAGACCAGAGGAGGAGGAGGAGGAGGAGAGATGAAGACCAGAGGAGGAGGAGGAGGAGGAGGAGAGGGAGGAGAGATGAAGACCAGAGGAGGAGGAGGAGGAGGACAGGAAGGAGAGATGAATACCAGAGGAGGAGGAGGAGGAGGACAGGAAGGAGAGATGAATACCAGAGGAGGAGGAGGAGGAGGAGAGGAAGGAGAGATGAAGACCAGAGGAGGAGGAGGAGGAGGAGAGGAAGGAGAGATGAAGACCAGAGGGGGAGGAGGAGGAGGACAGGAAGGAGAGATGAAGACCAGAGGAGGAGGAGGAGGAGGACAGGAAGGAGAGATGAAGACCAGAGGAGGAGGAGGAGGAGGAGGACAGGAAGGAGAGATGAAGACCAGAGGAGGAGGAGGAGGAGGAGAGGAAGGAGAGATGAAGACCAGAGGAGGAGGAGGACAGGAAGGAGAGATGAAGACCAGAGAGGAGGAGGAGGAGGACAGGAAGGAGAGATGAAGACCAGAGGAGGAGGAGGACAGGAAGGAGAGATGAAGACCAGAGGAGGAGGAGGATGAGAGGAGGAGAGGGAGGAGAGATGAAGACCAGAGGAGGAGGAGGAGGAGGAGAGGAAGGAGAGATGAAGACCAGAGGAGGAGGAGGACAGGAAGGAGAGATGAAGACCAGAGGAGCAGGAGGAGGAGGAGGAGGAGTAGGAGGAGGAGTAGGAGCAGGAGGAGCAGTAGGAGGATCTTCAGCTGGTTTCTCACCTTGAGGATCTTCACCACCACCTTCTCGTTGTTGGTCACGTTTATGGCCTCGAAGACCTCGCTGTACTTCCCTCTGCCCAGTTTACGGACCAGCTGGTAGTTATCCTGATTACTGAGGGAGACCAACAGGAAGTTCAATCAGCAGAGATCCGACCAATCAGGAGTGAGTACGGATCGTTCTGATTGATAACGCTCTCGTTTTGATTGGTCAGGTTCACCATGATGGTCTTCTGTCACATGGATCTCCTGAGGTGGTCTTTGGAGTTCAGAGCAGGTCTCAGATCAAACTGAAGGGGATAAAACCGGCACAGTCGGCCGGCGGCGGCGAGCTGCAGCCGGGCGCCACGTCTCCATGATGGAAGAGCCGCCATGACGGGTTTGAGCGTTCTCTGCATGTTTATCTGAGCGCGTCTTTGAGCAGAACATCGAAAACTGAACTTCTCCTGAAAACCCGACACTCGGTCATCAAGAACTGATCTTTAACTTTGAACATAACGAGCAGCAGAGAGAGGAGCTCTGATTGGTCAGTGAGTCTCATCACACTGAACAACCACAGGGGGGCGACACTGTCCCGGATTCAAGGCTGCTGGATCCTCGGGGCGTTACGTTCATTTAGCACATGCACACTGATGCATCATGGGTAAATTACAGGCAGCAGAGCATCAGTCCAAACACCCCAGGACATGAGTGGACACATGAGTGGACACCTGAGTTTCTGAGGAACACAGAGAGGTGAGTTTTTCAGGGCGGGGCAGTGATTCTTCCTTCAGGACTTGGCGAATGAACGACAGGAGTCACCCAGTGAACGACGCCGTGACTTCAGCAGCAGGAGAGGGGAGGGGCTAATGAACGAACTCGCCGCTGTGTCACTCACTGATGTACTGCAGCGACAGGACGGGGCTCCAAAGAACTGACTGATTCAGTGAACGAATCTTTTGAACGAATCCTTTTAGTGAACAGATCCTAAAGACAGGTGCTGACAGGCGAGAAAAGACGCACCGCAAATTTCGTTCACCGTGTCGTTCATTCGCCGTGAGTGAGTCACGAGACTCCGCCCACTCGCTGGCTGGTTGGCTGTGTGTCATTTGCCAAAGAGTCAAAGGCTGCAGTTCCACTCCCGACCTGCACGCCAGTCTGAGCTCAACTGAACTGAAAAAGGAACGAATCAGGACTCTGAGAGTGATTCAGTTCAGCGGTTCTTTAGAACGGATCGTTCATGAACTACACAAAAACCAGAGACTAAGACAGAATAAAGAAACCTGATGAGGGACAATACTCTCTCGTACCGCAACCGACTGTCCCGAATGATCACATGACATCGAACCCAATCCTTTGATAATGAAGTCGTAACGTTTTAAATCACATTTTAATCACATCGTATCGACTGAGGCGTCAGTGTGTCGTTAATGTTCTGTATGAGTGGCGGCGTAACCAGATGTGTATTGAATCGTCCTCACTGTGTGTGTGTGTGTGTGTGTGTGTGTGTGTGTGTGTACCTCCAGTTTGGCACGTGTGCGTCATAGTCCCAGTACTCTCTGTTCTTCTGTGTGTTGACGTCGGTGTACACCCGAGCCTTGCTGCTGGCCGGCGTGGATCCGGGCATCGCTAGCTTGGCAGCTCCGTGTCGAGGACTGGCTCCTCCCACTGAACACTTTTGGGCTCGGTACCTGAAGGCAGCAGGACAGCGACTCTCCTGAAGGTGTGGCTCTAAGATCCCGCCGCCGCCTTTACCATGAGCTCCGCCTCCTGCTGCTGCTGCTGCTGCTGCTGCTGCCGCCCTGTGATTCCAGGCGTCAGGCCGGTCCGATGCTGCCGCTGAGCAGACGGACAGAGCGACGATGACGGAGTGAGTGAAGCCCCTGAGCAGGAAGTTAACCGACAGGACGGGATGAAGAGCCGCCAGCTGCAGGACGACAGGACAAGAGAACTCATTTTAGTTCAAACGCCGTCATCTGCTTCATCACATGACCACATCAGACCAGGTTCAGACCCAGACCCCTCCTGTCCTCAGACTTGGACTAGTTTGACTCGGGTTCATGAACCTGTTCTCCTGTCAGTAAGAGAAAAAAGGGACGTTTCGCTCTTTTTCTTCTCCACATCAGACCAGGTCGACCTGAAAAACCACCGAGTGAACCCTCAGGAGATCGACGTGAACTCTCGCTCTGAAGACTGATCCAGTTTTTCACACAGATCCCTGACAGACCAGCTCCTCCTGAACCTCTGATCACATCCTCACCGTGTTGATTCTGAATATAAAAGACCGGGTCCAGACAAGTCCAAAACGACAAACACATGTTCCTACTTCTTCCTCTGCTGTCCTGTCACCCGTCTAACCACCGGGTCTGTCCGCTCACACGACCACAAACACTGAGGGTCGTTCGCTCCTTTCAGCAGCGTCACAGAAACATCTCCTGGTCTCTGTTTTCTGGTGGTCCAACCTGCAGACTCGCAGCTCTGAAGATGATTCAGACCCGTCCAAAGACCAGGAACCAGACTCATCTTCATTGAACCGCTGAGAGCGAGATCCTTTAACCCGCCAACAGGTCGGCCGCACACGTCTGCATGAATATGACATGATTTCAAATCCACTTTATATATATGTCAGATTTTAAAAAACATTCAAGTTTAATCATAATAATAATAATAATAATAATGTATCAGATTTCATAGAGCGCTTTATCAGAGACCCTCAACACGCTCCACACTGGATCCATCATTCATTCATTCATTCATTCATTCATTCGCTCACACAGTCACACCTTGGCGGTGGTAAACTACCTTAGTAGTCACAGCTGACCTGGGGCAGACTGACAGAAACATGGCTGCCAGTTTACGTCTACAGCCTCTCCGACCACCACCACACAACACTCACAATCACACACCAGTGGAGGACACACACTGGGAGTACGGTGGGTTAAGTGTCTCGCCCAAGGACACGACGGACAGACTCAGGATAGGGGGGAATTGAACCGCCAACTAGGCCTGAACGATATATCGTTTGACTATCGTCATCGCGATGTACGTGTGTGCGATAGTCACATCGCAGAGCCTGCGATATTGGAGGTGAATGAACTCATTTAATTTCAAGGGTAACCGACTGAGATACACTCCATGTGACTCTGCATGTGCTTTGCAGCGATCCACCAATCGCCTTCATCCTTAACTCAGTTGCCAATCAGACTCACTTCTCAGTTGCCAATCAGACTACCCTGCCAGTTGTCAATCAAAATCAGGGCGGAGAAAACCCACCCCTGCACATGTTCTGCACATGGAGGGAGACGTGTGTCCGCTGAGAATTACTTTCGGAACTTTACTCATGACTGTTAAGCCCAACAAATAAGAACTGTATGGGTTTTAAATTGTACATTTCCGTGGACCACTCTACTATAAGCAGTGCGCGTTTTGCGAGGTGCATGCAATTCTCGGAGGACAACAACAACAACAACAAAGATCACAAAATGAACAACGAACAAGCGAAAACCACCGAAAATGAAGATTTGTTGCCAAAAAGAAAAGGAAAGTCAGTTATCTGGAATTATTTCGGTTAAAAGAAGGATGATGTCGACCAAAACACGTCTTCTGTGTTCACCTGTTGCCACAATAACGTCCCAGCACAATAAAAGCTAAAAATATCTCTGAGACAGACAGAAGCCGTTCTACTAACATTCACAAAAAGAGGTAAGATCAGAGCAGATTAACTGTCCTCAAGATTTCAGCAGTGCAGCATAACATTAAGTGCTATTCAGGTCATCTGGTGAAAATTACTGTATTTTTAATATCGCAATATATATCGCAGGGTTGAAGAAATCGCAATATTATTTTTTTCCAATATCGTGCAGCCTTACCGCCAACCTCCCGATTATTGGACTACCACCATGAAGTTTACCAAAGTGCTGCGCAATAAAATCAAAAGAGCAGAGAAACAACACAAGGGAATAAATAAAAGCAGGTAAAAAACATTTAAAATGAAATAAAAGAAAAGAAATTAAAGTGATAAAAGGACAGAGATCACACAACTCTCACACTGAGCTGACAGCCGAGGAATAAAAATGAGTTTTAAGTCGTGATTTTAAGGTGAAAGAGTCGGGGATGGTTTCATCTTGACGTGCGGAGAAAGTTCGGTCACCGCGGGTTTTTAAACGAGTTTTAGGGACGAGGAGTTGGAGCTGATCAGCTGACCTGAAGGAACACTGAAGAGGTCAGAGATGAACTGTGGTTTTGATTAAAGATTTAAAAACAAACAAAATGATTTTTAAAATGAACGGGAAGCCGATGGAGCGACGCCAGAATCATAGTGAGGTGGTCATGTTTTTATTTACCTGTTAAAAGACGAGCAGCAGCGTTTTGGACGAACTGTGAGTGTGAGAGAGAAACCTGATGAACACCAACGTAAAGAGAGTTACAGTCGACCAATCAGAGAGCAGAAATAAAAACAGGAATGACTCCAAACTCAAAATCAGGAAAAGATCAAAACTGCAGACAGAGAGAGAGACAACAACTGTCGTCATGACAACAACAATAAAATAAAAACACCCAAACTGAAGAGCGAGGAAACCGTTTACAGAGACCGTCAGCGGACCTGGGGGGACGACCCAGAACCAGGCGGAGAGGGTACCGATCCAAACAGAGGACCAGAACCTTCATCCAGAATAACAGCGTCACTCTGAGGTCGACCACCTGCTCTATAATCAATCTATAATCAATGACCTGATCAGTATTGTCACCACACAGCCCTGACACTAAAGCAGCGTTAACCTACAGGAGCACAAGTCCTGCCCCCTGACCGCGCAACAACCAATCAAAAAGCAGAACTCTGGATCAGCACCTGGGGTGGCCAATCAGATTCCACAGAGGGGCCCGTGCCATCCCTGGACGCGCCCCTGTCCTCCTGGCCTTTAATTAACCATCACATCAGTTTTAATTCACATCATTTTACTCTCAGTCTGACAGCTAAAAGAATCATTAACTCATTAAACCCGCTCTTTGGTTATTTAACACCGTTTAAGGAGATAAATCTAACCATCCAGCTGCGATGACAGAGCTAACTCAGCAAACACGAACACTTCCGATTAAAACCGATTAAAACCTCCAAATCTACCAAACAGGAGCGCGAGCTCCGGGACACAGTGAGGGATCAATAAAGTCTATCGACAGAAGACAGAAGAATTATCTATGTCGACGTTATTAAAGAGGAAAATCAGTCCGTGAGCTACAGTTAGCCGGCTAACCTCGTCGTCGGAATCTCCGAGCTCAGCCGAGTCCGCCCGATACCGAGCCGAAAGCTCCCCGTTAGCTTCTCGTTAGCAGCTCATTAGCAGGTCGCTGCTCCTCGAACAGCGATGAAGCTCCTCCGCTTTTACAGGGACTGAGAATGTTTGCAGTTTTGGTCCTAAAACTGATTAAATAATCAATCGGAGGGGGGAGGAGGGACATCAGCAGCAGCGGGTCGTTAGCAGAGCGGGGTGGGCTTTTCCGTTCTGCGGTAAACATCAACCGGAACTCGTCTTCTTCGTCACTTGGTTTCTGCGGCGGGCGGTATCCGGTTTGCTACATTACTGCCACCGTGCGGTTTCAGTGCTGCTATTTACAATCACGTTTATCAAGATTTCCTCCATTTGAACGACAACATATCACTTTAATACGGTGGCCGAGAGCCGCCACTGCTGCGAATAAAAAGAATGCAAAAAAAAAAAGTCACAATGGAAGTTACTGATGCAAAAATAAGGAACAGTGCCGATTTTTTAATTAAAAAAAAAAAAGCCACAACAGAAGTTCACAACGCAAAAAAAAAAAAATCTTTTCTCCTAGGCGGTCTGTCGGGCCGTTGTGGGTTTCCTGTGTCAGCCGAAGCTAACTCTACACCGGAAAAACATCCTTTTTAATAACACGGCTCTGAAGAAACATCAGGTTGTTGGAGGATGTGAGGTTCGGATTCAGTTAATCATTCTCATTTATTTTGAGATGCCCAAAACTTTTGTCTTATTAACATGATGTTCATGATTGTCTGGGATACATATCAGTCAGTTTAATGTACTTTATTTATTTATTTGTAGAGCACTTTAAAACAACCACAGCTGTACAAAGTGCTGTACATAACAGGACAAAAACAACAAGATAAAAAACAATCAAGAAACAATTAAAACAATGGATAAAATAAAAGCAGAATTAATAATAAAATATAGTTTCAATGTTTTTAAAAACTAATTTAAAAACATAGAAACAAATAACTAAAAACAAACCATAAAACACTAAAACAGGAGCCGAGTCTCATGCAGGGTTAAAAGCCAATGAATAAAAATGGGTTTTAAGACGAGTTTTAAAAATGGACATGTATTTCAGTACCATGTCATTGTGTACTCAAGTGATAGCAGACAAATATCTAATGAAGATTTTACTGATCGGAGCAAACTCACAACTTGTTCCAGTCACCGACAGGAACTGTTCAAGAAATTGACATGATGGAGAAACTGACATTCGCTCTGAGATGACAGTCGGACACATTTAAGAGACGTTGGTGGATCGGATATATAAGAGCAGGGAGAGCTGCTCTAAATACCTCTGATTCATGAAGTACCAGACTATTAAAGTACTATTAAAGTACTCGGACAACTGAGAACTGATATTAGTAAATTGGACATATTTGTTTGTTTGTTTGACACAAATGTGTAAATGTGATTGGATTCATTTTCTTTGTTTCTCCCTGATAAAAACAAAATAAAAAACGAACCCTAATTCCTACAAATGTGAGTAAAAAGAAAAAACAGAAACTGACGGTCCCTAAACTGTTTACAGCAAATACAGGATTAAAAATAATCTAAAGACAGAATGAAATTTAAAACAGATTTCCACTAAATATATCTAACATGTTAAATTTGAAGTCAGTCACGTTTGTAAAAGTGGATCCAGGTTCACTTTTCTCATCGTGTCCTCAGCTCCTCTGTGGACCTTAGTGAGCCCAGCAGACCAGGTTCTGTAGACCTCAGTGGACCCAGTAGACCAGGTTCTGTAGACCTCAGTGGACCCAGTAGACCAGGTTCTGGAGCCTGACAGTCAAATGTTGTCCCATACTGTCCTGACAGAGGACTTCAGCTGCTCAACAGTCCCGGGTCTCTCATTGTCTGGATGGCAGCAGATGGAGAGATTGGTCAGAAGATACCCAGGACATGGACTCTGATGGTCATTCTAATGATGCGCTTGAACCGAGAGGTTGCTGCAAGTCTGGTCTCTCTGCATTATCTGTAATTTATGCTAGATCTTTCTCATATTTTTGTTGTCTTTTTGTCGGCCGCTGATGGGTGAAGAGTTTACTGAAGAGAAGAGCTCCTTTCATTGAGGAAAAGCAAATCTGGACAACAACATACAATTCCAGAGGACATCAGGAGGTGTTATCACGGTTGCCGTGCTGGTGCAAAGGTGAGGGCAAAGCCGAATGCTAGGAGGTGGCGATGGAACCCATTCTTCCATCAATCATCATGGGAAACATCAACTCTGCCCAACAAAAGCCAGGAGCTGGAGATCTTGGTGAAGACCGAGAAAGCAGACAGGGAGTGCAGTTTCCTGTTTTACTGAAACCTCCCTCTGAGCATTTTTTGGTCTAAAAGACATCTCAATGTAGCCTAGACGGCTGGTCTAAAATCAGTCTATAAATGAGTTTTTTAGACGTCTAAATTTAGACCAAGTCTAAATCTGGGCTATGTCTTTACTACACTCTATTTTGCTCAACAACTATCATTATTATTTTTGGTTTAGTACTTGGAGATCAGTTATGCGACTCACAGTTGCTTCTTGAGATAGTTATTGAATTATGGGTTAAAGTGCAACGTCTGAATTCCATCTAAAAATATACAGAATCTAGACGGCTGAAATGAGGTCTAAAAAAAAACGACGTCTAATAGCCGTCTGTTGCTCGGTGGACTGGTTGAATCAAAAGAACTCGGACTCCAGCGTGGATCTACCCGGCTTCACTCTCATAAGGTCAGACAGAGATGCTGAAGAAGAAAGGAGGAGGTCTGGCTTTGTCACACATGACTGTCAAGGAGAAGTTGTGTTGTCCAGATATTGAACTGTTGGCCATATTATGATCATTTTATAATAATAGTACAACAGACAATTGAATTTCCCTTCGAGGATTAATAGTTATTCTTATTCTTACCATCAGGGATGCTGAGAAGAAGCCGGGACAGGTGGACCCTTGACTCTTCAGAGGACGGTGCAGCATCTATGATTTCCACTCCAGAGTCCGGTCTGTTTTGTAATGCCCTGAAGACCAGGACCGTCCAGTCTTGGTTCTGGTCCTTTTACTATAGAGATACACCATTTTACAGCATTTCCAATCAAACCCAGGCCTGCCTTAAAACTCTCTGTCATTACTTTTCAGATGTCTTGTTGAACTTTTGAATTGGATTTGTTTTTACTTTTTGATATTTTCCCATCAGACAAATCAAATAACTGGTTTAGAGAAGTTGAGGCTCTTCTTTGGATGAACACAGTGACCGCTTTACTTTCATAAGGGTGGTTTATTTTAATTGTCTGTATACAGTATGAACAGGAGTCTATATTGATATCCATAATGTGTAAATCCAACGTTTCATTACACTCGTCCTCCTCCAACAGAACCAACCATGGCACGACCACATCGCCCCCTCCCACCCCCCATCGAAAAACGTCCCTGTAACCACGACGGAACTCCAAAAACCTTTAAATATACTGCAGAGATTGTACAGAATATAGAAACCCACACAGTAAACTAAAGTACACAAATATTTTTACTCGATGCTCGGCCTTAACCGACACAGAACTTTGAGGCTACCTGGATTATCTGCTGAGGGTCCTGCGCGGACCAGGAGGATGCCAATTCTTTCAAAGTAAGATAGAAAAGAAGATTACTCTGTTCGCTCTACAGCTCAGTAACTAATGCAGCTAGTTTGTGGCAGTAAGCAGTAAAATGCTTCGGGTTAAACTCGTGACACTGTGTGGAAGTCAAACTAAAAGTGCCTGCGACGTACTGCAAGCTCATTCCAGGTGAATACAAAAGCAGGTAACATAAGCACTATACAGTTTTACATCAGCGTATACACACAACCTCTAAGAGAACAGAGTAGACTATGCAATGAATCAGTAGTCATAAATATTACATTGTGCATGTTCTATTGCACATGTCAAGTGTCTGTCTGACATGATAGGTACAGGTTAGTTACCTAGCAGTCATCTGTTTAATACAAAGATGCAACAACACAGATTTCATAGGACACAGGCTATACATTTTCACAAATCCACTTTTTTTCTTCTTCTTCTTCTTCTTAGGACGTTTTCCTAAATAAAGCAAAGGCTATAATACAACAGTGATATTAAAGTGTGATAAATATTCATGCACAAACAGATGAGACTACCTAAGACCTAGTATGAGATAGATACTGCTGCACAGACCAGCCGCTGTGAAGGGATGGGACATGAACTCCAACTAAAACACGACATGAGCCATCAGTAAAAAAAGGCACATGGATCAGAGGAGCTTCCACGCACGCACACACACACACACACATCTGAGAACCTCCTGTCAACTTTCCTCCACAACAGAATCACAAAACAGACGATCACATGCAACCACAGACAGGTCCCACACTCAGGACTAAACTAAACCACATCTCTCTCCTTCATCCTGCAGCTCGAATTTGTCTCCATGTGTCCAAAATAAAAAGCGGGTCCTGCTGTCGACATCAGGTCTTGAACTCATGATGAGGATGAACCGAGTCTGTCTGTTCATAAAAACCGTGTGTGAGCGTCTTATTTTCTACATGGGAGGGGGGGGGGGGGGGGGGTGCTGGCACACGCTGCTCTGTAGGTTAATGTCTGGGTTCACGGGATGCAGGGGGCTTCGGGGAAACTCTCGCCCTCGGCGGTGTGCTGCACCGTGTGCTCCTGCAGGGCCGTGAGGTCGACGAAGCGCTCCCCGCACCACACGCACTTAAACTGGGTCTCCCTGGAGTGGACGCTCTGGTGCTTGGCCAGGTGCTCACGCTGCTTGAAGCTCTTGTCGCAGTTGGCGCACTTAAACGGCTTCTCCCCGGTGTGAACCCGCCGATGGCGCTGCAGCTCGGACGAGTACCTGAAGCGCTTTTCACAGTCGGGGCATTTGAGCGGCTTCTCTCGGGTCGGGTCGCAGCGGTGCTGGACGAACTCGGAGGACGACACGAAGCGCTTGTCACAGAGCGAGCACTTGAGCGGCTTCTCTGTGCAGTGAGAGTTCTGGTGGCGCTGCAGCGTGGAGTTCTTTTTGTAACCTTTGCCGCACACGTCGCACTTGTACGGCTTCTCCACCTCGCCGCCACATTTGTGCCGCAGCAGCTCTCCCGATTGGCTGAAAGACTTCTGGCAGGACGCACACTTAAACAGACTCTCCATGCCGTGAACCTGCTGGTGGTAGAGCAGGTGGGACGGCTGCAGGAAGCCTTTATCACAAAGGTTACACTTGAAGGGCCGATCAGCTGGGTTTTTGTGCGTGCGGCGGTGCCGGACGAGGGCGTACTGCTGCTTAAAGCTCATCTGGCACTCCTCGCACTGGAAAGGCCGCTCCTCTGAGTGCGTGCGCTCGTGCTGCCGCAGGTCAGACGGCCGCTTGAAGCTCTTTCCACACGACCCGCAGCGGAAGGGCCGCTCCCCTTCAGGCTGGCACTGGTGGTGCAGGAGCTCGGACGACTCCTTAAAGTGCATCTCACACAAATTGCACTTGAACAGGTGCTCGCCGGAGTGAGCGTACATGTGACGCACCAGGTGAGAGCGGTGTTTGAAGCTCTTCTCACACACCGCACATTTGTACGGCCGCTCAGAGCTGTGCGTGCGCTGATGGTGAGCCAGGTGCGAGGACTGGCTGAAGCTCTTATCGCACGTGTCGCATTTGTACGGCTTCTCTCCGGTGTGTACCCTCTCGTGGCGAGTCAGCTCAGACAGATGGCGGAAGGCCTTATGGCACACTGAGCACTTGTACGGCCGGTCAGGTGCGGAGGCCTCAAACGTGGGCGGGGACGAGGCACTGATGGCTGCGCCGCCACTGGACGTCTCTCCAGTGGAGGGCTGCTGGGGGTTGGCGGCTGATGAGGTGGGGGTGACGTTTCCAGAGCCCGGCCGGTAAGTCTTCTCGCAGATGGAGCACTTCATCGGGTTGTTCCCGTTGCCGTGGGAGTTGTGATGCTGGGCCAGAGAGGTGAGGAGGGAGAAGCCCATCTTACACACCCCGCACACAAACGGCTTCTGCTCCACCTGCACACACTGGTGCTCCAGCAGGTCGGTGGCCTGGCTGAAGATCTTCATACACTGCGTGCACTGAAAAGAGCGGTCCTGGCTCACCATGCACTGGTGTTCATGAGGGTTGGCCAGGTGAGAGATGTCATGGCCGCAGGCTCCACATTTGTGTCCTCTCTCGCCCCCTACCTGTAAGGAGGGCTGCTGGGTCTGCACAGAGTGCTGCTGACCGTGCTGGGGCTGCTGCAGGGAGGCATCCTGCTGCAGAACCACCCCGTACACAGCACAGCCCAGAGGGTTGTCAGCCCCCTGAGGCAGCGTGTGAACAACTGAAGGGGGCGCCACCGCGTGCTGCTGCTGCTGCCACGCCTCCGTCATCCTGCCGCTTCTCCTGCAGGGACCAGAGCTGAGCGGAGGAAGTGAGCTTTCACAGGCGGCCGAGAGGGTGGATGTGGTCTGAGAAATGCCACACGGACTGGCTGAGTGTGTGTTAGAGACAGCCTTCAGCAGGGGGGGGATAACCTGACAGGAAAACATAAAGACAGAAAACAATACATCATTATAAATACAGAGAAATACAGAGAAACAGGCTGTCATCATCATCATCATCATCATCATCTGTGGAAATTATCTCAACTCAGCGTCTGTCCAAATACATTTTCTTGTTCTTGGTGTGAAACTTTGTTTTGTTCTCGTAAATACAACGTAAAGTAGAGCTGGGCAATATGGGAAAAAGTTTATCACGATATACTTTTCATAAAAAAATGAAATCTAACAGTGTTTATTGGTCTCATGTCTTTTCCAACACAATAATCTCCTGCATCTGTGAGGTCTTTGTGTCTCTTTGGCGTTTTGTCGTAAGGCGTTGCTCTAGAGAAAGTCGACTGAATGGTCGTCTGTTTCAGGCGCCATGGGCTCCTCGCTCCTCTTTGGGTTTGCAACCTTTTGCGTTGTGTGTGGCGTGGCGCTGCTTCAGGTGGTGAAAAAGATTTGAGGTATTCCCCGACTTTGTGAGAACATGTACTCGACATTATTTTATAATTTATGACATAATTTGTGTATATTTTTCATATTGTATACCGTTATATCGCCCAGCCCTATATAGAGTCTTTGAATTATAGCAGACTGATCAGCTAACACAGTTCCAATGAATCTGGTCAATTAAAGGTATTTTAAAATAAGTCTATAGGACATCATATGAAACCTTACACGGTCTCCAACTCCTGTCATAAACAGATTCTATTATGATGTATTTAAAAATGTGGTTTAATGTTTCTTCTAAAATACAAATCAGCCATATCTGACATCTATAGCATAGCTAATGTAGTTTTCTATTTTGATATTTATTCAACTTCAATCACACCCATGTTTATTTTACTGCACTGAGCATGAACCTGCACGTTATGTTAAAAAGTTTAATAACAAACAGACAAAAAAAAATCTTAATATCAGCATTAAATGTCGGTCATCAGCAGATGTAGTAGAAAAACGGACATTGGTCAACATCTAGAATAAACGTAAATGTTATAAATTGATATTAAATGTACATGGTTACATATACTGAACATAAATATTATTTCAATGATAGTCTCAAAATAACGCTCCATCCGGACAGAAAGGCTCCATCTATTTACTGCAACGTTTCGCTAGTTTTACGGTATTTAATAGAAAATAAACTACAGACACCTGACGGCTAGTTTGGGGACCCCAATGGACCTCTACTTTAATATCACACACAGCTCTTTAAGTATTAGTTTCACACCACAGTTTTTCAGCAGACATAACGACATTTTGACTCACAATCAAAAGGGGAAACCCGCTAAATAACAGTGAATGCTAGGCGCACCAAGACCAGAAAAGGGCTCCGTCTATTTCCTAAAACGAAAATCGGCTCGTTCGCTCCAAACGTTGGCAAAACTGAATTTTTTACAAATATGTGATGTAAAAACCATATTACTAAAGAGTACATGGTCGCGTTTGTTTTAATAGTCCGAAATATTTTTTGTTGGGGGTAGTAAACTGATTTGTTTCTGTAGCTCCATGACATTAGCTTGTTAGCCTGTTAGCTCCTGGAGCGGTACAAACAAAGCTAACGGCTAACAGCTAACGCTCCTAAAAACGGAACTTTATTTAAAATTCTCTACCTTCAAACATTTCTCAAGTGAAAGTGTTTACACCGCCGGATCAGCCACGCTTGATTCCACAAATTTCAGGATTAAAAGTGATTTCTCAGAGCCGGTACCCCGGCCGGTCCCAGCTGCCGTTACCGGGGCTGAGATGCCGCTTTATGTAGGCCCCAGAGCGGCTTCACGGACTAACGTTAGAGTCGAGGCTCCTCCGATCAGAGCAGGCCTCCGCGGGGAATCCGCCTCCTGCAGCCGAACCCCGTGCATCTGCAAAACCCGACCCATCAATACGAACCGGAGCACGGTGACTTACTCTGAGCGCTTATCGGTGATTCTCACTGCCGTCCTCGGTCGGAACTCGACTGCCGGCGCTGAATTTGGAACTCGGAGGACCGGCGGTGGAGGGGATGCGGATGAAGCCGGACGCCATCCTCCCGCAGACGGACGGACACCGGAAGCCGCCACGCAGTGAGCTTTCGCTGGGGAGCTGCAGCCGCTGCGTGCCGGAGGCTCCGACCCAGAACCTAAACCAGTCCGAACAGGGGATAAACCGGACTCCGAGACTGTTTTAAGAGTGTTCAGACGAACACAAAGGCCAAAACGAGCCCCAAAAGAGCTGTTTTTGATTGTAATACTGCAGTTTAACCACAGGGGCGTAGTTTTGCTCCTCCACTGTAAACACTGTCAGCCTGGAACCGTTATTTTTACTTGACCATCATCATCATCATCATCACACCAGCAGAGGATGAACCTTTTCTAACAGGTGAGAACATATTGAGGCATCACCACTAAAATCCATGAAGACCATAGACTTTATATACTATAGACAACTTGGTTCCTCCTTCCTCCAGTATATGGTTTTGAAGCCGAAAAGTTCTCGGTAATTCCGTGTTGGTTCTGAGCAGAGGACCCAACAGTGTCCCCCTAACATCCTCAGAGCGGTTCTGATGACTTCAGAATTCATAGGAAGGTTTGGTAATGTCACAGATGTTCCCAGACTGTTCCAGTATTTTTCCAAAATCCAAAATTTTCTCAAACGTTCCGGAATGTTGTTGATCTTTTAGAATGTCTTTGATGTTACGGAATGTTCGGTGATATTCTCTAAAATGTTCTACATCCTCCAGAGCGTCACCACCATAGACTGTATTTACTAAAGACAACTTGGTTCCTCCTTCCTCCACTATACGGTTTTGAAGCCGAAAAGTTCTCAGTAATTCCGTGTTTTTTTATCCACTTCCTGAAACCAACATTGCGCAGTAGTGTTGTACGCATTCGGCGGGAGAGTCGGCTCAAACAGCGTATCCCCCGGTGATCTACTCAATCTCTGTCCTCCCATAGGCTGTATCAGGTGTCAATCATAGAAAACATGAACCCCCTAATAACTTTTAAAAATGGAGCTGTACAGAAAAAAGAGGACTTGAGCACAAACCAGTCTGACAGTAACTACATGTCAACATCACAACCAGGGGGGAGAAACATTTATATTCTGTGTCATTCATTTATAAAGTTTGTCCACAGCTCCATAAGGAGGCGGGGTTTAGGACCTATACTGCAGCCCGTCACCAGAGGGCGCTGTTCTCACAGAGAGGAGGCAGACGGTGTCTATTCTAGATACAGTCTATGGTTAAGACTTTAAATCCCGAATATGATATGCTACTTTTGTAAGAGTGAGTTAGTTGTGTCGTATAAAAGATAAGATCCAAACTCCCTGGATTTAGGAATTTAGATTAATTTCAACTTTAAAGTTAAAAAATGAGGCAAAAACAACATCTGTGGTGTTAAAAATGCTGAGTAAACAGAAATACTGAAAGGATCAGCTGATAAGTTCATAATTAATTTGGCATTGAATAAAGGTCTTATTACATACTTTTATACTAGTCTACAGAGTTATAACCAACACAATATTGATGGACTTGTTCAGTGATGGGAGGAGGACCTTCAGAGTGTTTACAGTGAAGATGTCTTCAGACCACTCACCAAACAAATACAGTATAGTAGAATATTTCACAGACAGACAGACAGGACAGAAAGGACAGCTCAGGTTATGAACAAAACTGACTCTAATAGATCAATATTGTGCCTTATATCTAAGTTGACAAATGGAACATATATATATATATATATATATATATATATATATATATACACACTGCTTCTGGAGCTGTCCAAGAATATCAACGTTCTGCTCATGTGTATCTAAAGAAGTGAGAGCAAGATTCAAAAACAAGATATTTAAAGATCTGGTCAGTTTCTATTGTCATCGACAAACAGAGTTATGGATGTGAGGAGATCAAAATGACCGAATAAACTTTTATTTTTGGACAGAAAATGTAAACGATTTAATCAGACTAGAGACAAACCTCCCGCTGTAACTCGGAGGTACAAAGAAATGTTTAGAGTTTCACCGATGGAAAGGCAAAGTGCCGAATTAAATGGGATTGATGATATCTTTACGGACACATGGCGGCCCCCTATGGATTACTTTCCTAAAGGTCAAAGTGAAATTATACAGAGAGGAGACGGTGGTTTAGGGGGTCCCAGACTGAGCTGACTGGTGATAAAAAATACTTTTTTTATAAGTACAAGAACACATATTTCTTTAATTGATGACACACTGTTGTGTAGTTGTTGTTGTTGGGGTTTTTCTTTGTTTACCCTTCTCTTTGTTTTGTTTTCCTTTTTCCCCTCATCTTTTATCCTTTTTTTGTCATTCTCAACCATATTTGAATTCAGTTTATTAATTATTCTCCCCTAGATCAGACCACTGCTTAATAATGTATGGTTCTATATAGATTCTAAAATAAAATAAAATCTGATTACTAAAAAATAAAAAAAATGCTGATGACCAGCATATAGACCTACCCGCTCACCCACAGTTTTTTTCTTGACCTCTGAGAGAAATGAAAGAACGACAGCAGACGGCGTAATTTCAAACATTTCATTATTTTCTCCACATTAACTTGGAAACAACCTCATAAACCAAAGAGTAAGAAAGAGCATGCTCGGGCATGCAATGATGTCACAACATGATGATGCCACTGGGTGCGAAGTATAAAACATACAGTAGCAGAGAGTTTCTTTTGATCATTCATAAACCCACGGAGAGTTAGAAGCTAGCGTTTATTTTACACCGCTCTCCTCCTCGCCTCACGTCGCCTTATGTTGCTGGATTAAAGAGACGAGAGGGAGAAACTCACAAACTGACACCAGATTGAGCAGGCTGAACAAACATGCTGAAAAAAATCTCATCCGGCCCAGAAAGTGTCTGGAAATGACACCGTAGAAACCCCATTTTTCCCTTTTTGACTGGTCCAAAAGGGGGAGAAAAGGGGGGAGAGACAAAACAGTGCATGCCATTTCAGGGTGAGGAGGAGGAGGAGGAGGAGGAGGAGGAGGAAGAGGGGTCTGTGGGTGGGTGAGGAGGGTGGGGGATGAAGGTAATTTGTCTCCTCTCGGCCTGCCCGCGTGGGGGCGGGGTTTAAATAAAGAATAAATGAATAATAAATACGAGGCACTCTGCATTCTCTCTGTTTGCAAACTGCAGAAAAACAAACTGGAATAATAATCAGAATCATAATAATAATGACACATACACATATATAGTAGAATCAGTGGTTATAACATAACAGTCTCAGGCTGTACAAAGGGGCGGGGCTGATTCTCCTCAGTATGTCAGCAGGTAAAGGTGTGTGTGTGTGTGTGTGTGTGTACGTGTGTGTGCGTGTGTGTGTGTGTGTGTGTGTGTGTGTGCGTGTGTGTGTCGGCCGGCTGCTGCTGACGTTTGGTTCAGAGTTTGGTTTGGTGATTTGATTCGATGGCGGCGCCGATCTCCAAATCTGTGCCGGCGACAGGAAGTGATGACCAGGAGATGGCGTGCGTACGAATGAGGACAGAACGGTGATGTTAAAGGGATAAAAATGCTCGTCTTAAAGCCCACACAGCCTCATGCAATGGTTGTGTGTGTCTGTGAAGTTCTTTGTGGATAAAAAGAAACGAACCATGACGGAGCCCTTTAAAATGGATCTACTCTGCAGCATAGTTCTGTATGTAGCGCATAGTGCCAGTAAGGGGTTAAAGACGGGGGAGGGGCTTACGTGGGAAATGGTTCAGAGGCTAAAGGGTTAAGGATGGAGAGTGTGCACCATGCTATAAGTTAGCATGTTAGCATGACAATCAGGAAACAAAGTTTTTGATATTCTCGTCTAAAACGATGGAAAAATGGGAAGAACTGCCTGTGCCATCTCCAGGTGTGCTGCACACACATGCACCTGTCCAGGTTTTAGAGCTGCACTCTCTACTTTCTTCTTCTGTGGTTGCAAGCTGAAAAAAAAACAAAGCATTTGAAAAAAAGGAGCGGTGCTTGAACAGAGGTGAGAGGACGAGTACGAAGCAACGATAAAAGGCTCTGCTGTGTCCGTCGCTCGGGCTGCGGGCTCCATGTCTGTCTCAGTACGTAATAATAATTTAATAATATACCATAGTTATCAATAAGTCTTATAGATCATACCTGTATAAGCTTAAATAAAGAAGTGAATGAAAAGAATGGCTACTCCAATATTGAGTAAAATGACCATAACCACCAGAATAGAGTTGGAGCCCTGCAAGACAAGAAAACAAGAGAAGAAGAAGAAGAAGCAGTCAGTACATGAGCAGAAGAAGAAGAAGAAGATCAACCATTCATCAGACTCCAGTCCAACACACACTCAGTATGTTTACATGCACAGTTTACTTTGACTAAGCAGCTGAGAAAATCCAATTATTGACGTGAACGTGTCCTCCTCCCCAACACTAGGGGGCGATATGGGTCTTTACAACCGTCAACAACAACAGCAGGTCGGTGTCAGACGTCAGAAGTGTCTACAACTGCTGCTGGGCATTTTGGAGAAACAAGAAGATGGAGCATCGTACAGCGTTGTTTTTGTCCGACATGATGGACGCGCTACTTTTTCTAAAGAGGAGACCAACGCTACTCCTCTACTCTGGGGGTTTGTTACAGGGTTACGGGGGCGTGGCGTCATACTCCGACTACGCTGGTTACATGGTCGAGAAAATCGGATTCCAATCTCATTATCTGGGTGTCTTAATCCGAGTTCTTAAACTCCGATAATAGTCGGACTAAGGTGTTTACATGAACTTCAGTTGTCCTGTCTTAATCGGAATAAGGCGATAATTCGGTTTTCTCGAGTGTCATGGAAACGGACTGAGTGACAAATATTCATGTCTATATTCTAAACCAGATTCACCACATCATTCAGGCTCAGTACGGCGTCACATAGAGTCAGTCTGTTTTGTTTTCTTCCTCGGTGGAGAAACACTAAAGGTAGAATCCACATCTCAACATTCTGAACATTCTGGTTTCCCTCCCTGGCTCTCCTCTTACTCTGGTCTTTGTTTGACTTTCTCTCCTTGTTTATTGTCTTCTATAGTTCATGTAGGGGACCAGAGGGGAGGTAGAGCGTCCACCCTGGACTAGCAGAGGGGAGGTAGAGCGTCCACCCTGGACTAGCAGAGTTTCTCTCCCTGGCCAACTCTCCTGCTCCTCTTTGTTGCTTTCTCTCTCTCTCTCTTTCTCTTTGTTTATTTTCTTCCAGACCTTTCAGGACTCGGTTTTAGCCTACTTAGACTTCTTCCCCTGTCCTCATTTGAACATCCCTGCAGCTTCTTTCCTCCCCCCTCTCTCTGTAGCAGAGGAACAGGGGGAGGTAGAGGAAACGGACTCATCCAGCAGGGGTGAGTACCGGCCCAAATGGGCTCCTCTCTCCAGCTCTGCCTCCCCCTCTTCCTCACAGGGTTTTTCCTCCTTTGTGGGACATTGAGGATCTCTGACGGTAAAATTGTCGGTTTCTTTGGATTAATATTTGGTTCTGGCGAGCCTCGGATCGGCACCGCCTCTCTGAAAGTCGGACCCTGACTCGTCATCCATCAGTGAGGATTTGAGTTTGGATCCCTGAGGGACACTTTGTTCCTGTTTCTTTTTTATCATTTGTTTTTTTAGACATTGAGGATTTACTGATATAATAACTGGGTCATGTTCTGACCCGGTTTATGACGTGTAAATAAAGTGTGACCTCCAGGTCCAGGTGGACTCTGTGTGCACTCCTGGACCTCTTTTCATAGTTTTAGACCGAACAGCTGACTCTGATACAGTGGATCTCTCACTCCAGCTCTATGTTGGTTTAACAGGTTCAGCTCTGGACTGGTTCAGGTCCGACTCGTCTGTTTTAAAGTGAAAGTTGGTGACCGTGTCTCTATCCTGTGGAGCACCCCAAGGCTCTATTCCTGGTCCCCTCCTGTTCTCCATATATGTCCTCCCTCTTGGTATATCTGACCACCTGTATGCAGACGACTCTCAGATCTACCTCTCAATAAAGACAAATATTGGCAGCTCTCTAAAACGTCTGCTGGACTGTTTTAAAGACATAAATGACTGGATGGCCTCGAGCTTTTTAAATTTCAATGAAAAGGAAACAGAATGAATCATCTTTGGCTCCAGTGGGGCCAGGAGACCCCTCTCAAGGAGCTGGACCCTCTGTTACCTTCGTTTAAACCCACAGATATAAATCTGGGTGTAAAAGCCGACAATGATTTTCAATCAACAAATCAACTCTGTAGTTAAATCCAGTTTTCATCATCTGAGGTTTTTATCCCAGATTCAATTGGTTTAGATGATAATTTTAATAAAGTCATTCCTGTTTTTATTCCCACTCTCTGGTTGGTCGACTGTAACTCTCTTTACGTCGGTGTTCATCAGGTTTCTCTCTCTCTGATCAGCTCCACCTCCTCGTCCCTAAAACTCGTTTTAAAAACCCTGGTGAGCGAACTTTCTCGGCTGTGGCTCCCAAAACATCCCGACTCTTTCTACTTTAAAATCACGTCTTCAAACTCATTTTAACCCTTTTATCTCAGAGTTGTGTGATCTCTGTCCTTTTATTTCATTTGAAATGTTTTTGACCTGCTTTCATTCGTTGGTTCTTGTTGATTTTATGGTTCAGCACTTTGTTAAATTGAATGTTTTTAAATGTGATATAGAAATACAGTAGAGTAGATTGACAGTCGTGTAAGTGTGGGTGTGGCTCTGTGCGGACTCACTGAGTTTGATCTGAGGGTGAGATTTTCTGCGTCCTGCTCCAGAGTGATGGGCTGAGACTTAAGGGGGGGTGAGAGGGTCAGGTCCCTGTGCAGCGGCCACTCCTCTAGCTCCGCCCCCACATTCAGGTTGTCCAGCATCTGTACAGAGTCCATGGACCCCTCCCTGACCGGTCGCAGGCCTCGGGACCGCAGACGGTTGTTCTTTGGGGGCGGAGACTCGTGGCCCCGCCCCCGTGACGTCTGCGAGTCCTGAAGCCTCATGTCGACCGTGTAGTCGTTCATCCGCTCGTCGTCCTGCTCCGTGAGGCGGGAGTGGGCGGGGCTCCACCTCAGGGTGCTCTCGGCGGTCCAGCTCCCGGGGAGGCCGTCCAGCCGGAGGTCGGCGTGCTCGCTCAGCTTGTGGTTGGGGGGGTTGTGCTGCTTGGGGTGGTGGTTGGAGTAGACATGCTCTCTGGGTTTGTAACTAGAGGAGACGTGCTCCTTCGCGCTGTGATTGGATGAGATATAATCGTGGGACTTGTGATTGGAGGAAGCATGCTCAGAAGTCTTGTGATTGGACGAGCTGTGGTGCGAGGGCTTGTGATTGGATAAAATATGAACCTGCGGCTTGTAGTTGGAGGAGGCGTGGTCGCAGGCTTTGTGATTGGTGGAGGAATGATCCCATGTTTTGTGATTGGACGACGAGTACTCCCTCGACTTGTGATTGGAGGAGGCGTGGTTGGAGGGCTTTGGGTTGGACAGGGAGTGTTCCCACGCTCTGTAGGAGGACTTGTGATTGGACGAGGGTTTGTCCCGGGGTTTGTGGTTGGACAGCGGCGCCTGCTCGTGCCCGTTGATCTGGCTCTCGTGCTCCTCCAGCAGGGAAGGCGTGGTGGAGCGGCTGCTGCCGCCCCGGTCCGGATACATGTCGTCACTCCAATTGTTGGCCCCGCCCCTGGGCAGGTCAACACCCCGCCCCTCCACCAGCACCTGGATCTCAGCCCCGCCCTGATCGTCCACGGCGCTCTGGCGCATGAAGCAGGCGTTTCTGGGGCGGTGGGAGTGTTTTGGCGGGGTATGCGGGGGCGAGGTGGGCACGCTCAGCACGGGGCTGAGGTCAGGTGAGATGACGGGGGGCGTGGTGTCCGGCGTGCACAGCTCTGGACTGTCGGTTCCCGTGGAGATCACCTCGTGGTCTTTGTCCTTGGCGTCCTGGTGTTTGGGCCTCTGACACTCCAGACCTGAGAACAGACGGAGAAAGATCTGGAACTGGTCCACCACACCTGCAGGGAGAGTGTGTGTGTGTGTGTGTGCGTGTGTGTGTGTGTGTGTGTGTGTGTGTGTGTTATTAGCATGCAGGGCAGCAGAATGGGAAGCGCTGTATAAAGTGGATCATGTTCTGGATTAAGGAGGATTAGAGAAATGAAATCCTCTGTAGTTCATGATGAGATTAAACACTGACACTCACACCCACAGCCGTTAGACTCTCAAAGTGGGAGGAGTTCAGATGTTTGTTTTTCTTTGGTGTCAAATCAGTGGGCGTGTCTCTGTCAGTCACATGTCTTCATGCCTCAGAAACCTTCAGCCTCCTCATCAGTAAAAATTCAAAGACACTCGATCATACTTTGAGCTCTAGATTCAGACGTCTGTGTTTTTTGTCCACTCACCGTTCCCGTAGATGTGGAAGGAGGGAGAGAGCTCTTTGGCAGCGATCCGGGCCAGCCGACACTCCTCCATCGCCTTCTGAGCAACTCCTTCGGCCGCCTCCGCCTTCCCCCGAGCGTGGCTCATCCTGAGAGGACAACGACAAACACGAGAGTCAAATCAGGGTCATAACCATGGCTGACCCCGAAGGAGCGGCTCACTGAGGTCGGCGGGTCGAACCTGAACCTGAACCTCTTCAGTTTTTCCTTCTGTTGTTTTTTTTTTTTCTCACTGGGAGGTTTTAACGGAGATTTTAACTTTGGAGTTCTTATTTTAACGACTTTTATTTCACTTCTGGACTTTCATGGACTCTTGTGTCCCAGTTTGGATTTGATCGGGTTTTTTAAAGGACCATGTTTTTGTCATTTTGGTACTCTGAAGGACAACAGGATACTCTGGCATGTGGACACCTGGACCTGGTTTCTGACAGATGCAGCCTCAGCCAAGTGACGAATCATGCGCAGTTTAATCGGTCAGGTGGGGTATCCAAACGCGCTCATCAGACAGGATATAGATCAGAATATATCGGTGTAGATCTAAATGTGCTGACTCAGATAGTTGCACTGAGTATTGATTGTCATTGATTACTTATTGCACTGAAATGTGCCTGAAACTGTGGAAACCTGCCGGTGAGGCATCGGCGACGTATGCCGATACGCCGCCGCTCTACTAAAATACCACGAGACCAGCTTTGCTCCGCCTGCGCTGACAGCTGACCAGGTTTGAATCGGCAAGATTTCAGCGCACTTTTCATGCCGCCGGCGAGCACAAAAATGTCACTGCGCCAGCTGATTCTGATGACACCCCCCCCCCCCCCCACTGCGTATCCACTCCCAGCTTGGCGGACCTTGGCGCGCCTCAGTCTATGAAAATACAAAACTGGCAGTGCGCCGAAAATACGTCCGCCACGTCGCTGGCGGACACGGAAATAGAGCCCATTATCTCAACCTCACAGCTGTAAACGAGCACAAAGGTCCTGGTGTTTTGGACTCTTGCTCGCCAAAGACCCTTGCCCCTGGATAAAGTTCCTCATCTCACCTGGACATGGCGATCTCGGCTTTCTGCTTGGCGGTGTCAGCGGCCTTCTCCGCCGCCTCCACGGCTCGGTCCACCTTCTCCCGGATCTTGCTGGCCCTCAGCGGGATCAGGTTCTTGCGTTTTCCGCTCACCAGCACGTTCTGTTTGTACTTCCCCTCCTCTTTGGTGCCGTCGGGGAAGGTGGTGCAGCCGTAACCGTGCCTCTTGTTCCCCGCCCATTCGCCTTCGTAATGCAGGCCGTCAGAGCGCCGGCTCACACCCCAGCCCGCCCGCTGGTCGCTCCGCCACTCACCTGCGTACATCTCTGTGACGGTGGCGTCGACAGGGGCGCCCTGCTCGCTCTCGCTGGCGTTGGAGTGGATGTCAGAGGCGGCAGAGCTGACGGTGCTCATGCCGGCCTCGCTGCAGAACGAGCTCTGTTTACTCAGCTGACTGGCCAGCGAGCTTTTGGACTCAGAACGCCGCAGCTTCAGGCCGCTCAGGATGGACTGCCGGAATCGACCTTTCCTCTTCCTCTGGCGTTCAGCTTCGCTCGGAGCTGTCAGAGCGAAACCGCCGCGTCCCACTGGGCTCCCAGCTAGCCCGGCTACCACCCCGTCTGTGGGCGTGGGGGCGGAGCCGTCCTCCAGCACAGCAGGGGGGCCGTGGCTGTGCTCGGAGCGCAGCGAGTTTATGGATGTTCGTAGGGGGAAGAGGATGACGGCCGCCATGCCGTATGGGACACTCTGCCGCACGCCGTAACCGTGGCGCATCCCAGCCAGCCACTGACCCTGATAGGTTCCTGAGACACAGACAGAAAGAGAAAGAGAAGATCAGGATCAGGACTAGGATCAGGATCAGGTTTTCAGGTTCGGACTAAGATCAGGACTGACTGATGCGGCAGAAACTCGACTTCACTTTTACGTTAATCTGTGCATTTTTGAAGAGCTGGGTGATCAATAACTTCAGGGTGTCCCCATGTTGAAAAACAGTGGAATCCCCCTTTAAGTTCGAACGACACAAACTGAACTTCAGCAAATTTTCTCAGTTTCACTTCAGGAGAAAAGACAAAAAAAAAACCATGAAAAATATGAAAAATATGAAAAATATGATTATTTTAAACTCATTCAGGCCCAGATCCAAATGAGAGAAGAGGCCTCAAAGTTTGTTTACATGGTTTTTGAGTGTGTGTGTGTGTGTCTGATTAAAGTCAGTACTCAGTTAAATTGGATAAGGAAATAGATCAAAATAAGTCAGAATAATTAATTAAATTACATGATGAGAGAAACTCGTCAGCGCTTGTAAACAGAGTCCACCACACACCGGATTTATGACGTCTGCAGAGTCAGAGGTGTCAGAGGTGGACCCTCCTGTGTCCCTCCGAGCGGCTGCTTTGATTGGCTGACAGAACTGCAGAGCGTCATGTGACTCAGAGAAACCTGATCAATCAGACAGGTGACCGAGACCAGGACGGAGTCTGACCGCTGTTTTATTGATTCAATTATCGACAGTCTCTCAAAGATCAGGACAAAAACAAACTCAGTGTGAGGTCTGACTCAAATACTCTGTTTTCATGAAGCAGCTGATCTCATGTCACTCACTGACGTCTGAGTTTAAATAAACTCTACAGGAGACTTAGAGTTCGAAGTGAGACCGGCCTCAGTCATCAGAAACATGATCATCGTCTGACCGTGGAGCCCGATGATTGTGATCGATCTGATATTTCCATTTCCTCCACATGTCCTGATGCATCAGTGATATCTGATGTTTACTGATTTCTGAGGCCCTCTAATAGAATAATTACGGCTCCTAAATGAGCCCTGAGATCATTTCCTTGGACATTGACTGAACTCTGGGTGTTTCCTCCTCAGAGTCAGCTCGGTTTGATTTCATAGTTTTTAGTTCGACTCACAAGAAGCTGAAACGACAAACCGGAGGAGAAAACAGTGAAGGAGAATCAAACCTTCAGCATCTCTGTGAGACCTTCAGAAAGGTGAACCGGTTTATTTTGAAGTAATGAGGCCGAGTTTACCTGTTCACAAAAAAAGAGAGAGACCATGACGGATACTTCAGACTCCTTCAGATATAAAATACTCCCCTCCTCCTTTTCACTGCACATGCACTTTTTGGACCGTGGGCCGATCAGACATTAAAAACACTGAAGTATGGACGTTAATCTGTTTGTTGTGAAGTGAACCTTAAATGAATGTCCACAGCACTGATCAGTCAATATCTTTATATTTAGTGTGCAGAAGGATAACTCTAAAGTGTCTGTAGGGTCAGGAGTCTGGTAACCCCCCTTACTCACCTATCACCATCCTTGGACATCCCTGTCAATCAAGTTTCTCAGTTTCTTCTCTCGTCAGCATCACCTCCATCACTCTAGATTCCTCTTTCCTGTCCCTCCATGAGAATCTAGTTCTGTTCTCATGTTTGATAATTCATCAGGTTTGTTCTCGTTAACGACCGTCCGCTCTCACAGAGACGTCCCTCTGATTTCTCTTCGTTTCTTAAACTCTCCTATCAAACATGTCGGCCTTCATCAATGTCCTCACTTTTCTTCACATGCTTGTAAGAACATCTGTGATGTTAGACTGCTGTTTTCATATCATGTTTAATATTTAAGCTTTATGTCGCTCAACAGTACGCAGGGTCCACAGGGGTCCACTTAGGGACCGACGTCCTTTTCCAGTTGTTTTGTGTCTCTTTGTGTTCCGCTTGTGTATCTTTGTGTTCATTAATCGTCTCTTTTTAGTTTTTTTGTGCCTCTTTGTAGTTGTTTTGTTTCTCTTTGTGTATTTTTTTATCTCTCTGGTGTTGGTTTGTGTCTCTTTGTAGTTGTTAATTGTCTCTTTGTGTTCAGTTTGTTTCTTTTTGTGTTTGTTTTGAGTCTCTTTGTAGTTGTTTATTGTATCTGTGGTTGTCTAGTGTCTCTGTAGTTATTTATTGTCTCTCTTTTTGTTTATTTTGTGTCTCTTTGTAGTTTTGTCTCTATTTGTGTATTTTTGTATCTCTCTGATGTTGTTTTGTGTTTCTTTGTGTTTGTTTTGTGTCTGTTTGTTTTCCGTTTGTGTATCTTTGTGTTTGTTAAGCGTCTCTTTGTAGTTGTTTAGTGTCTCTTTGTAGTTGTTTTGTGTCTCTTTGTGTATTTTTGTGTCTCTCTGATGTTGTTTAGTGTCTCTTTGTAGTTTTTTGTGTCTTTGTAGTTATTTTGTCTCTCTTTGTAGTTTTAAGTGTGTCTTTGTAGTTTTATTGTGTCTCTTTGTAGTTTTTTTGTGTTTCTTTGTAGTTTTTTGTGTGTCTTTGCATTTGTTTTTTGTCTCTTTGTAGTTGTTTTGTCTCTGTTACAAACATTTTGATCATTTTAAATCCTCTCGTTGTCGGTTTGCTTTATACTTAAATCTAGTTTTGCCTCTTTGTCGATGTCTGCATCACTTTGGTTTTTTGGGTCCATCTTTCTGGTAGTGTTGTGTTTCCTTGTAGATGTTCTGTGCTTCTCTGTAGTTTTTACTTCTACCTTGTAATCCTCATCATGTATCAGTGGAACTGTTTGTTGTAAGCTTCGCGTCGCTCAGCAGTACGCAGGGTCCACTTAGGGACCGACGCCCTTTTCCCCGGCTCTATCTGCGCGTGTGGCACAGATGGTAACTTGTTAACACTCCCTGTAGTTCGACCAGGGCATCTCTCTTTTATAACAGTCTTATATCTTTGTTTTTCTTTTGCCGTACTGTTGGTGACTCTGCTGAATATAAAAGCTCTTTCTCTGGTCGAGTAGATGCCCTTTAAAACGCTTTATTTCCAGCTGATCTTGTGACTTTCGACTTTTTGTGTTGCATTTAAAAGCAGCAGGGTCAGGAGCTGAAATCAAACCGCTCATTCAGCGAACATTTGTACGTTTTCCTGGTAATTCAGTTTTAGAGTAAAATCCTGCTTTCAAATCTGTCGCCCATTTCACAAAGTGTCCTCTCTTTGGGTCGATGGGGACGCTCTTTATCGAACACACGTCGTACAGAACTACACACACTGTTAGCATGTAGCAGGATTGAGGTCAGTGTCTGAACTCTGCGCAGTAATCCTAAGCTGATTTTATGTTTGCACTGTTTCACTCTGGAAAATGATCAAATTATGTAAACTCAAATCCATCAGTGTGCAGAACAGAAACACAACAGCCTCATTATTATACAACAAACCAAACGACGAGCGACACACACACACACACACACACACACACACACAAACACACACACTCAACTTTACGCAACAGATGAAGAAACTGTTTTTACAGGACGTGTCAGTTTTTAGGTTTGCTCTGTAAAAATGTTTGTTGTTCTTCTCAATGACTTTACTAAACTGTATATCTGCTCACTTTCCCTTCAGCTGTCCAGTCTTTAAATCTGTCAAACTACGTCAACAATTTCTGTTTGAAATAGAAAAATGTAAACAAATATTTTTAATCTCTCCATATGACACATTAGGTGCAGATTTTAATTTATTATCCATATCGGATAATAAATAAATATATAAATATATTGTGCAGCTCTTATAATCTGATTTAAAGGTGTTGTAGTCAGGATCTGAGTTAGTTCCAGTTTTTAGCAGAAATCTTGAATGTAAACTCTACCCCTCCCAACCAGTTTTCCCCTCAGCTCCTCCTCTCCCCTCAAGCCCCGCCCACAAACAGACGCTCCTGCTCGCTTGTATCGTTCCAATTAAATTCAGATATAATGCAGATAAATCCTTCAGATCATTACAAATGGGGCCCAGTCAAGGTGAAAGTCAAAAGCATTGGTGCTACTGTAGATGCCAACAGACTACCAGCAAACACAATGTTTGCAGGACTTCTACAACGAGGATAAAGTGACATAGTCCAGGACCCGAGGGAGGACAGTTTAGCGATGGAGCTACAACACGCTACAGCAGGTCCGTTTGACAAGAAACACTTCTGTTACAGACACTTGTCTTACTTTGTTAAAGCGGTTTACCTGTCCAGCAGAAAGGTTACAGGGTCACCAAGATCCCCAAGCGTCCCCCATGGTTTATGTTGACCCGGCTTTTTAGCTCTTGTCCAGTCTACCTCCGTTTTAAGCGCCCGTTATTCCTCCAGAGTCTCCGGTATTTACTTTGTTTTCTTGCTTGTGTCGGCAGTCGTGGCCAAAGGAGGATTCAGACAATTTTCCGAACTTTCTGGTTGGTTTCTACTGTCCGATATTGTAGCACGCTAACTTTGTTTGGGCTCCTGAACGACACGGGGGAGCAGCGTCTGCCTCACAACCAATCAGGTTAGAGGAGGTGGAGAACGGCTTTGTTTACAGTCAGAAAGAGCGGACCGCTCAAAAATGTTCAAATGTTGACGACACAGACAGAAGAGAACACAGAGATATCGATATATTACCAAATGTCATCAATAACTAATAACTATTGACTGATATTAGAAGATTTTTTGGATAAAAACCAGAAAATAAAAAGATGCTTCTTTAACAGATTCCTGTCTACTTCACCTTTAAGTCGGTTTTCTTCTTGTGGACCAGACTTCTTTCCTCAGACTAGAGATCAGCTGGACTCTCTCATATGAACTCTGAGTTCTTGTTGCTGATGTGGATCTGTGTGAGTCTGAATGTGTTTGTTTTTTGCTGCCATTCTTGGTCAGGACCCCCCCTGAAAAAGAGATTGATGATCTCAACAGGACTAGTCTGGTTACATCAAATCAAAGAGACACACAACCTGCCTCCTGTCTTTGTCCTCTACAGAAAACCTGATCCAGCTGCAGGACTCACATCTGGGACATGTAAGACCACATGGATCCATGACCCGGACGGAGCGGTAACATGACATCCAGCAGAAACAGACACAATAAAGACAAACAGACGAGGTGATTTCAGTGACTCAGTTTGAGGATTTTTATGATTTTTTTACCCACAATCAGAGACTTGACCACAATCTGAGCTGAGTCAGAAACATCCAAACAGTCGGACTAATAAATGTGATTATTATTATTAGAGTGATTGAAAAGCTCATAACAACATGTAGATCTGTCCAAAGTCTGATTCTAGATGTCTTTACAAACACACTGATCCAACAGAAGCAGACAGAAATATCCATCGATCACATGAACACAAATATTCAGCAAACAGAGAAAGAAACAGATCATCTGAAGAGTTTTTGGGGACGACTGGAAAGACTTTAGACGCTTGGATTTGGGACAGGAAATAAGGTCGTCCTTTTTCTGTGTGTTGTAGCCGGCGAGTTACCGAGAAACAGGACGTTATTGAGCGCAGATTTGCGAGGTCCGTCAGCTGTTCAGTTCTAAGCTCCTCTCCTTTCCTCCGTTTTCATCCCTCTAGTCCATGCAACGTCTGTAAGTGTTCATATGTTGTTGTATTAAGATGAAGGTTGTTTAAGTGTAATTAAGTTGTTAAAACGGCTATGGCGCTAATCGCTAATGCTACACGTAGTTAGCTTCATGTTTTTCGTTGCTAGCGGCATTCTAGCTCGTTTGTGATTATAACGGCTAAAGCTAATGTAGCTTAGCTCTACTGTCTGTGTGTAAGCCATAACTCATTGTTTTATATGTTACTGTATCATTTCAGTTTCACAAGATTCCTCAGTAAACTTGAAGAGGTGAATCAACTGCGTCTGAGAGTTTATTGGGGAGTGTTTATACTGCTTGGAAGTAGCCCATGACACTGTGATTTTGACCTCACTTTTTTCTAAAGTCTCAGACCTTCAACATCTGCACCAACTGAAGGTGATTTGAACAAACCATCATCTTGATGTTGTTGATATCAAACTGTATGAAGATTTTTCAACATGAGAAATACAAACAATCAAAGTTCTCCACAATCACTGTCCTTAAAGCTGCGACCAAATCAGCATCTTTAGAAAAGAATCAAAAAGCTGAAATGAAGAACTAAACCCAGAGTTTTTGGTGAGACTGATCCACAAACATTTACAAACCAGAACATTTCAAGAGTTCAAGGATCTCAGTCCATGATTTTGGTCTGATGGACTCAAAATTCTCTTCAGTTCACTTCTATAAACTCAGCAGAGTCTGAAGTGAAGAGTCCAGCATGTAGAGGTTCAGTGAATCTGGTCTGGACTCTGTGGAGGAGAGTCATGGTTTCAGAGACGCTGTAGAAGGACAGAATACCTGCTCTGTGATCCAGGTACACTCCTACTCTGGAGGACAGAGGACCTGAGACAGGAGTGAAGACGTTGTTGTGAACAAAACTATAACTGTCTTTATAACAGAATAAACTCCAAGATTTGTCAGTGTATCCAAATAAACAATCCTCTGATCCTCCGTCTCTCCTGATAGTCTTGTATGCGACTGCTACATAAACCACGCCCCCTCTCCAGTCCACCTCCCAGTAACAACGTCCAGTCAGACTCTCTCTACTCAGAACCTGAAGATAATCAGTGAATCTGTCTGGATGATCAGGATAAGACTGTCGTTCTCCTGTCACTGTTGCTCTTCTGTTTCCATCAGATAATAACAGATACCTGTTTGCTGTGTTTGGATCCAGTGTGATTCTTCGTGAATATCTTAAGAAACCAGCTCTGGTCTTGGGTTCTGCTGGTTCTGGTTCTGACAGTAAAACATCCACTTCAGTCACTGCCTGTGAGACGTTTGTCCTCGTCTCTGTCAGAAGATCCTGGAGTTTCTCTCTGACCTCTGACACAGCTGCTGTCACCTCCTCAAAGTATCTCAGAGGACGGATGTTGATTCTGGATGAGTCTGCAGGTTGACCCGGTTCTGACAGTGAGGGGTAGCTGTGCAGAAACTGGTTGTGGTCCTCTGTGAGTGAGAGCTTCTGCAGATCAGCGTCTTTCCTCTTCAGCTCAGTGATCTCCTGCTCCAGTTTCTCCTGAAGCTCTTTGACTCGACTCACTTCACGTTCCTGCTGGGATCTGACCTGCTGCTCCACCTCAGAGCGGCGTTTCTCCATCAGACGGATCAGCTGGATGAAGATCTCCTGGCTGTGCTCCACAGCTTTATCAGCAGAGCTGTTGATAGCCTCCACCTCCTGTTGGAGCAGCTTCACATCTTCTTCTCTGTCCTGGATTCTCTGCTGGATGTTTCCTCGACTCTCCTCCAGATCTTTCTGCCTCTCAGTCCTTTCTGCTGCAGCTGAGACTGTGTCGTGACCTTTGTGTTGGTCCAAACAGCAGAGATGACAGATGGACTTCTGATCAGTGCGGCAGAAGATCTTCATCACCTCATCATGATGAGAGCAGATGTTCTCCTGGAGCTTCTTGGAGGGCTCCACCAGCTTGTGTTTCTTAAATGTAGGAGATTCAAAATGAGGCTGGAGGTGAATCTGACAGTAAGAAGCCAGACATTGAAGACAGGACTTGACAGCTTTCAGTTTTCTCCCACTGCAGAAATCACAGGCCACATCTTCAGGTCCAGCCTCAGAGGAACCATCAGGAGCAGCTTGGAGTCCGCTCTTCTTCACTTCCTCCACTAAACCTGCTAACATGGTGTTTTTCTTCAGGACAGGCCTCGGTATGAAGGTCTCTCTACACTGAGGACAGCTGTAGATCATCCTCTCAACCTCAGTATCCCAGTAGGATTGAATACAGCTCATGCAGAAGCTGTGTCCACAGGTGACAGTCACCGGATCCTTCAGAAGATCCAAACAGATGGAACAAGAGAAAGACTCACGGTCCAGATGAACTCCTTTCTGCGCCATTTCAACACTCGCTGTCGACGACGACTGACTGAGTTTTATTTCCTGAGAAGTGAAACTAGTCTGAGCTCTGATCTCAACAACATGAGTGAGTCAGCAGGATATGACCTCAGCACACGGAGGTTACACCCAAC